CGCGGGGTGGGGCGGGCAGGGCACTGCGGGGCTGCCCCGCCGCACATGCTCTGAGGGACCGGCCCGGACGGGGCTAATCCTGGCGTGGAATACCGGGATTGCGGCTGGGAGCAGCTCTGAGGCGGCACCAGAGGTCGTTGCTCTTCCGATTCTTCGTTACCGCCTCCGAGCGTGCCACCGGGAGAAATGGAGTGGCTGCTGTATCATTGATAATTAATGTTTTCCCTCTGTCTGCCGAGCCACTGCGGAGGTGCCTGTGTGAAACCACAGCCCTGTGCTCGATAAGATGAAAGCTTTTATGGAGCCTGATGCTCTTAAGCTTTGCTTGCAAGCAGGAAGCAGTGACCGTAATCTAATACGAAAATGGCTCTTTTCCAGGTCAGAGCGGAGCAGGAAACAACTGGGCAAAGGGCCATTATACGGAAGGTGCTGAATTAGTCGATTCTGTATTAGATGTTGTAAGAAAGGAGGCAGAAAGCTGTGATTGTCTCCAGGGCTTTCAGCTTACTCATTCCCTGGGTGGTGGCACAGGTTCTGGCATGGGTACCCTTCTCATCAGCAAAATCCGTGAGGAGTACCCAGACCGAATTATGAATACTTTCAGTGTGGTGCCCTCCCCTAAAGTGTCAGATACTGTAGTAGAGCCCTACAACGCCACGCTGTCGGTGCACCAGCTGGTGGAGAACACGGACGAGACGTACTGTATCGATAACGAGGCGCTGTACGACATTTGCTTCAGAACACTGAAGTTAACGACCCCCACCTACGGTGATCTGAACCACCTCGTGTCGGCCACCATGAGCGGTGTCACCACCTGCCTGCGGTTCCCGGGCCAGCTCAACGCTGACCTGCGGAAGCTGGCAGTGAACATGGTTCCCTTCCCACGTCTGCACTTTTTCATGCCCGGTTTTGCCCCGCTCACGAGCCGTGGCAGCCAGCAGTACCGGGCTCTAACGGTGCCAGAGCTCACCCAGCAGATGTTCGATGCCAAGAACATGATGGCGGCGTGTGACCCTCGTCACGGCCGCTATCTGACCGTGGCCGCCGTCTTTAGGGGCCGCATGTCCATGAAAGAGGTGGATGAGCAAATGCTAAACGTTCAGAACAAAAATAGCAGCTATTTTGTTGAATGGATCCCTAATAACGTTAAGACAGCAGTCTGTGACATTCCACCTCGCGGCCTCAAAATGTCTGCCACCTTCATTGGCAACAGCACGGCCATCCAGGAGCTGTTCAAACGCATTTCTGAGCAGTTCACTGCGATGTTCCGCAGAAAGGCTTTCCTGCACTGGTACACAGGCGAGGGCATGGACGAGATGGAGTTCACAGAGGCTGAGAGCAACATGAACGACCTGGTCTCTGAGTACCAGCAGTACCAGGATGCCACAGCTGAGGAGGAGGGGGAGTTCGAGGAGGAGGCTGAGGAGGAGGCAGAGTAAAGCTATGCAGTTGAACACCTGTAAATTTTGTTTAAAGTTGTATGAACTCTCTCATTCAAAAGTTCTGTTTGTGTTGTGTTATTATTGCTGTTTCCAAGTCACTCCCAATGCTGTACAGGCACCATTAAAGCAGTTTTCACAGTGCACGTCCCCGTCTCCTCTGTTCACACCGGTACGATTCCCGCGTGCCGTTCCCGTAAGTGAACCCACAGAGTTCCTGCAGGTCTGCAAGAGAAAAAACAACAGGAGCTCTGCCACCCTGGCCATGGCAACCACCCCCCTGTGCTGCCCTCAGCCAGGTGACGCCTGTTGTGGCCCTGGCAGGATGGCAGTCCTGCTCCTGCGCTGTGGGGAGTGGAGGAATTCCCTGCTGTTCTCTACAGGTACTGCTGCAGGGGGGCACATCTAACAGGGAGGGTGGAATCAACTCCAGGCTGGATCTAAATTTAGGTACCTGCCTGTGGCTTGTTGCAGCCTGGCTTGGCAGGAGCTGAGCAGGGGCCACGGGAGGTTTGAACTGCATGGGGGCACAAAACGATGCCCCAGAGCTGGCACTGCAGCTCCTCAGCCCCACAGAGCTGCAGGGCACAGCTCTGACAAGTGACACCAAAGCTGTCCCAAGCACACAGCCCTTCTGCAGTGATTTCAAAAATCACAGAAGAGGTTTTGATAATCAGGTGCTGGCACAGCCTCTGTTTGGGGTGAGCTGGACACCTGACACTGGTTTGTCTCCTGAAAACCCTGTATTAACAGCAGGTTTTTACAGTGGAACCACTTCATGTTTGGCATCACTTCAAGTGACAAAGCTGTCACCAAGGAGCTGGACAGGAGGGAGCAGGTTCCTTCCCTGCTGAAGAAATTGTGTTCAGCATTCTAAATTATAACTGCTTTTGTTTGAAGGTTTTCTGCCTTAATTAATTTTCTCCACCCAGAGCTGGACTGGTTGGAGCAGTTAAAACTCTGCTGACTGGTGGCTCCAGAGGCAGGGAAGTGGGAATGTCTGCAGGAACAGGGCCCAGTGTCAACACCTGAACTCAACATTCTCCTCTCTGGGCTCAACCTCCCCATCAGCCGCAGCCCAGCCCTGCCAGGAGAGTCGTTTTCCCACTCTTTGCTTTCAATCCTGCCATATTTTATATCTTGTCCCATTTCCCCTCTCTGCACTGCAGCAAGGACAAGCAGAGTTCTGGGCTCCATGATTTCCCACCCACATTTCTGAGCTGTGACCAAACACAGCAATGCATTTGTTGCTGATTTGTTGAGGTTATTTAGCCTGGTACATAAATGCTCTCAGGTGCACGGACACACCTTCCCCTTACACACAAAATTCCTCCAGACCTCTCCTAGGCAGCCCAAGACATCTCAGGGCTCAGGCAGGACAAACACCTTTTCCTTACAATTTTGTGCTTTCTCAACCCCTCCACACCATCTACCTTTTCCCTTTTTACCAGACTTCAAGCTTTTTAGAACAAATCCCTTTCCTGGCATGTGACAGGTGGGATGTCACCGAGTGTCCCCTGCCTCAGGGAGGGGATGGTGGCTGGAGATGTGAAGCCTGGGAGAGGCTGGCAGTGGGAATGCCAGGCTCTCCTGCAGCCAGGGCATGGCAGAGTTCCAGCACCTCAGCACAGACCAGAAAAAACCTCCAACCCCTGTGAAACATCTCAGTGATTGTTCACTTCTGTGCCACTCCAGCCAGTGACAGCGCTACTCAACCCAGTAATTAGTGCCAGCAGCTGATGAACTTACGTGGTACGAAGCCCATGTAGTCAGGTATGAGTCCAGCACGAGTGTAAATTTTGGTGTCTGGCCAGTGTGTCCGAGGGAATCTTGTGCCCAGTGTATAAGGTGGATTTCTCTGCAAAAGCTGGAAAACAAAACAAATCAAAAATCTCACAACAACATGGAATGGTTTATTTTAAAACATACTATTTTTACCAAAGTCATGTGCTCTGACTTTGCATTATATAAAATATTTAAGCCAACATAAAGCAATTCTCTTTCCAGTCCTGCTTTCTTCTAATTAAGAGCTACATTGTACTGTTCCTTTTCCCAATCCATAAATTTTTCTCCTGCCAGCTCACCCCCCATGCCCACAGCACAGCCCAGGTGCTGTCCTTGGGATCCTCACAGCCTGCAGAGTTTATTCCTTTTGGGATCATCCCCAATTCCCAAAGGCCTGGTGCTCCTGCTCTGCTGTCCCTGGAGCTGCTGTGGCTGTGTTTGGGTTTGACCCCCTTTGTTTTTCCATGAACCCCAGGAACAGCCTGGAATTCCCAGGCCAGGAGGAACAGGAAGGCTTAGGGAGCGTTAAGTGAAGGAAGAGTGTAAATCATCTCCTGCCCCCTGAGACCAGACACAGGTGAGTGTCTGGGTGTCACAGCTGGGTGTCACAGCTGGGTGTCACAGCCACAGAACCCCTAAAGGTGTCCCTGGAGCTGTTTGGGATGTGGAGAGGGGCTGTGGGTCCCGTGGGGCCACCGAGCCCTTTGTGCCTGCCATGGAGCCCAGGCTGTGGCTCCTGCAGAGGATTTTTGCTGTGCCTGCTGCAGGCACTGAGCAGTGATCCGTGGCACATCTGTAACCGAGGACAACAAAGATTTAGGGCAGGAGATTAGTGGATTGAAGTCAGAAGCCATCTTAGCTGGAAATGTGATTCTCCTTTCAGCGTGTCGGCTCCTCCGCCGCTGCCAGCCCGGATTCCCGGGTGGACAGAACCTCCTTGGCATGGCACTGCCATGGCTGAAGGCATCAGGGGCAGGAAGGATCAGCAATCAGCACATTCAGGAATAAATGCCTGGGTTTTGTTCTCTTAGCTCCTTTTCAATTCCTAATCACGGCAGCAGGGAAGGAGACAGAAACCAGCGCTGGGAAATAACATTTCATCCAAAGCACAGCCCTGCCCTGCTGCTCTCCCCCTGACTCATTTCTGCCCAGCTGATTTCTCTGAGCTGGGGATCCTCAGTTTTGGACGTTTTTCTTACATCAGCCCTGTGTGCCTGGGGATGAAAACACAGCAGTGTGTCCCGGGGTGCAGGAAGGGCTGGGATGTCTCAGCCTGTAATTGATGTGCTGATCCACTGAACCAGCGAGGCTGCTGCATCCCCAGGATCTCACACCATCCCCAGGGTCTCACACCATCCCCAGGATCTCCCACCATCCCCAGGATCTCCCTGCATCCCCAGGATCTCCCACCATCCCCAGGATCTCACACCATCCCCAGGATCTCACTGCAGCTCCAGGATCTCCCCGCATCCCCAAGATCTCCCTGCATCCCCAGGATCACCCTGCATCCCCAGGATCTCCCTGCATCCCCAGGATCTCCCTGCATCCCCAGGATCACCCTGCATCCCCAGGATCACCCTGCATCCCCAGGATCTCCCTGCATCCCCAGGATCTCACTGCAGCTCCAGGATCTCACACCATCCCCAGGATCTCACACCATCCCCAGGATCTCCCCGCATCCCCAGGATCTCCCCGCATCCCCAGGATCTCACACCATCCCCAGGATCTCCCTGCATCCCCAGGATCTCCCACCATCCCCAGGATCTCACACCATCCCCAGGGTCTCACACCATCCTGGGCTCAGGGAGGGATGTGTAGCTCTGAATACAAACTATCAATTGCTGCAGGAGGGATTTTTACCCATGCAGAGGATTCTGTGTCATTGGATGGGAGCTCTTACAGCAAGGGGACAACAGTTTTTCAGAAGGGAGATTTGTGCATCCTTCCAAAGGGAGGAGAAAGAAGGCTGAGATCCCTTTAAGACAAATTGTGTCAGGAAAAGAAAAAGCCTTACAACCAATAAAAAGACACACCAGCACTGCCAACCAGAGGAGATGTATTCCATAAGGGAAGTGCAGATAGTTGAATCCTGCATTTCTGCACTCAGAGCAGCATTTTTAACACTTGACCCTGCCCTCAATAGATTTCCTTAATCCTTTTATGAACTCATTTACCCTCCCTTAACATCCCAAGGAAACAAATTACAGAATTTAATTGCTGATGTTTTCTTCAATGTTACCCAACAGCGTTTGATTTTGCTCGCACCCCATTTCTATTCCTGCTACACTGAAAATTCAGGTGGATCAGCATCATGCACATTCTTATTTCTATAATCTATAATCTACCTGTTCTCGATCAAACTGATTCATGGCTTTCTGCACAGATGCAATGTAGGTCATGCCAAAATTTTCAGCAGCTCGGGGGATGAATCCAGCGTAGCCTTTGGGTGGAGGCAAGAGAGAACATTTTCTGCTTGAAAACATACAATGATCATTTAAATATTGACCACCCTGAGAGTGGAGGAGCCTGAGATGGATATAAAACCTTAAAGTATAGGGAGGAAAAGAATTAATCTGTTTAAATTGTAAAATTAACTCTTGCATTTCTTCTCTGAAAGAGTTTTTTTTTTCCCTTATGATTCCCAAGGAAAACACAATGGCATGAACTGGTTTTTGTTGGTCTCCATGTGGTATGGAAGAACCATTTCATTTTCTTAGTCCTTTTTCTTTTTTTACATCTACATCTCTTTCATGTTTTCTCCCAGTTTAATATACATTCAGGGGCTAACAATGGGATGTCCAACCTTTTTTTCTCATCTGCTTTGCCCATCCAACAAATTCCCACAATAGAAACTGTATAAAGTCTAAAACTACATAAAACATAGCGAGATAGAACCTAAAACCAGCCCAAACTCCTCTTTCTAAAGGAAAACTTTGGAGAGAGAAATTTGTCTTCTTGTTCAGGACACTCCCTGATTTTAACTGAAATATTGTGATCCCTGGATTCCTGTGATCCACTGGATCCTTGATGGGGGAGCTCATCCCATCACAGCTCTCCTGGAATGTTCTCCCAGAGCGAGGGGGGACTTACAGAACACCCCTTGTAGGACAGAGTTTATGACTTTGTGGCATAAATAATAATAATAAAAATATATAATAATATATAGAATATACATATAAAATATATAATACAAAAATAAATATATATTCTATATAAATATATAAAATATATATAATATATATAATAATAATATAATAACAAAACAAATAAATATAACAATAATTTTAAAATTGTGGCAGAGTTTGTGCCATACACCCCTGTGTGTGGATTTGGTGATTCAGGAAAACATCTGATTTTTAGGAGATGAGTAACTACCCCAGCAGGGTGGGACAGATCTCACCCTCTGGAGCTTCCTGAATCCCAAAAAAAACCCCTTGCAGGGAGAGCAGCAGGGATATTTCCCATCCCAAACAATCTGAAGCCACTGGGTAACACCACTGAGGTTTATCCATGGGGGAGAAGGGTCCCATCATTTCTTCAGAGATGGGACTCTGATGCCCTCCCCGTGTTTTACCTAAAGTGGCTTTTTGTCTGATGGCATTTGGGACAGGCAGCACTGGCAATGTGGAATCTGCTGTTTCCCCTCCTGGCAGTGCCACACCTCCAGTTAGGAAAACCTCAGCTCTGCTGCTGGAATCACTGCCAGGACCTGGGAATGGCAACTGCTATTTCCAGTTCTTCCCACACTAAGAGTTACCCCAACCATTTCTGGGAAAGTCAAATTAGGAGATGAGCAAGCAGCAGACCTAGAGGGGTTTGCAAAATCCCCATGGAGAGCAAGGGATGTAAATCTGCTTCTGAGGGCAAGGAGCAGGAATGCCCCTGCTTGGGATTTACATCCAAGCCAGCTTTTGACTCCTTGCGTCAAACCTTTAATCTCTGCCTTCAGAGGATTTCAGAGCCACGGCTGCAGGAATGTGACAGGGGCTGCTGCTGGCTCCAGAGGAAATAAAAGGTTTGGTTTTTTTTTTAAATAATAAATATAACAATATTTTTTAAAATAAAATTAAACAAAACATGAAAGCTGTTGGTCTGGAGGGATATTTGGCTGTGCTGAGGCAAATCCCAGTGCTGGTGTTCAGAGGAGAGGTAATGATGGTGGGAAATTCAGGTGGGGGTGGCAGATACAGTGTCAGAAACCAAACCAAAGGTGCTGGGACTGCTCTCTTTGGGAGGAGGAGGAGGAGGAAGGCAGCAGCATTCCTCCAAAGACACCCTAAGGAAGCACAAGCCTGGCTGCCCAGCACAGCACAACACAACTTCAGGGATTTGGGGATTGAAGCCAAACCCACCCAAATGAGAAACGAAGCCTTTTTGATCGGGAAGCATAATTAACGATCAAAACCATTTCCTGGAGATGGAGATTTGCTGCTGCTGGAAACATTTCTGATCTTTCTTTACACAAACCCATAACTTTGTGCCCTTTCCACTCACACCCAAGTGAAATTCCCTCCTCACCCCACCATCCCCAAGCCCCCACTCACAGTTTTGCTCCCTCCACAGTTGCACTGGTGCACTCCCAGCCTTCCCAGAGCGCTGGCCAGGGGTGGCTTGGCCACCTCCATCTCCATCTCCTGGGCTGCAGGGTGCAGGGCCAGCCCTTGCTGAGGCTCCAGGGGCAGCCAGGTCCTGCTCTCCCCCTGCTCTGGGGGGCACTGCCAGTTCCTGGGGTCCATGTGGGTCATCATCGGCTCCTCCAGCGGCCTGGGCACGGGCTGTGGCCCCAGGGGGATCTCAGGAGGGTTTGTGATGGGCTGGTAGGTGACATACCCTGAGGGACAGACACTGAGTTAGGGGACAGGCCCAAAGAGGGTGAGGAATCCCCATTATCCCCTCTGAGGGGATGGAAGGAGCCTGGAGTTCAGTGCTAGAATCAGAACAGCTCGAGCTGGAAGAGACCACAAGGATCTGCTCCACGCACATCCCACAGCTCTGTCATCAGCCCCATGATGAACCAGCCTGCACAGGAACCACCACAAATCCCAGTTAAATAACATTTATCCACCTAAACAGTAAAATATCACCAGCCAAGCTAAAAAGTAGGAAAGGGGGGCAAAAACCCTCAATCCTCAACTCCACGTGGCTGTGCCAGCCCACCCCAGAGCCCTCTCCAAGGAATTCTTGCTCTGGCCCCGTTGCTGCTCATTGAGGAAAGAATCTGCTGTAACACCAGCTGGAAAAAAATCACCTTACACAGAGCCCTGTGATCTGAGATTCTGCTGGGACAGCCGAGTTTGGCAACTTTTGTCTGATTTCCCCTTAAAAATCCCCCATGACGTGGCCCCCAGGTGTCCCAAACCCAGGAACTTTCTCTTCCTCTGTCCCAGCTGAAGCCGATTTTTCCCCTCCACCCCACAGCCACCTTCTCCTTATTGGAAAACTGTTTCTATGTCAGCCTTGTCTTTCTAAAACAAACCAAATTCCTTCCATTTTCATGCTCACAGGTCATTACATTTTTCCCAGGTCATTACAGCCTTGCTCTGAGCTCCCCTTGGGAGCACATCTGCATCCCAGGCCCCATCCCAGGGAATGAGGCACCAGCAGAGGCTCCATCTGCAGTGTTGGATTAATGCAGACACAACCTTACAGCTTTTTTTCCAAGCTGAATGATTCCACGATTTCTGCAAATCTGCAGAAATCAGAATAATCATAATTATATAATGATGTGCATATATTCTGTCTAGAACTTTGTGAAATATATATAATATACTCTATGCAACTGAATTGTCAAGTGTCCAGGCTGGCACCAAAATAAAGAAAAATCCTTGATTAAAATGATTTCTCAATCCAATGTGTAAATTTTAAAGCAGGTTTATTTTTTACTTCATTATTAATAAGAATGTTATAAGTATAAGTATTAATAAGAATGCTACTCTCTTACTCTCACAAACCAAAGGAAAAGGAAACTTAGGTTGTTCTGTACTTGGGAAATCCATGTGAGATGTTTTTTATGACCCTGAGGTTTTCAAACTGATTGATTCTGAAAGGCTGCACAGTGAGGCACAAAATGAAAAGCCAGGAGAGCACAGTGCTTTTGATTTGAGTAAATATCCACATTTTCAGGTTCCTGCCTGCACACTCAGCCTGTGCCACAAGCAGTTCCAGCAGGGCTGATGGATAATTCAGCACATCCCTGATCCCATGGAATCACAGAACCTCCTGAGCTGGGAGGGACCCTGAGCCTGATTTCACACCCAGCAAGAAAACAAATGGGATTCAGCTGACAGAAACCAGCAAAGCACTCGGTGCCATAAAGAGACTTTACCAAAGCCAGTCCTCCAGAAAAAATCTTGATTTTGCCAAAGGCAGCCCCAACACTGCCATGAGCTCCTTGATCACCATCACATCAAACACCCAGGAGGACTCCAGGCAGCAGCTGGGGAGGGTTGAAGGGATTGCAGGGCTGGACAGAAGGAACTCTTGGTGCCCTTGGCAGCACAGCCAGGGGTGGCTCTGCAGGACCTCACTCAGGAGCAGCAGCGTTGGCAGCAGGGACAAAAGCAGAATAATGAGAGCAACTCGGCCAACTGGTTAGTTGGGTCTGCCCAAGCTGTGGGTTAGACCAAGGAAATGCAAATTCAAATCTCCAGGAATGAAGGCTGGAAACCTGTGTGGTGGAGGTCTGGATCCTGGAAAACAGGGCCAGGAGGAGCAGAGAGGCCACGAGTTTGCAAGAAGGTGCACGGCACAAATTCCCAGTGAGAAATGAGAAGGTGATGCTTTGGTGTTTCCCCAGGGAAATAAAGACCCAGATCCCACATGGGCACATTGTCCCCATGCCCAGCCTGGAGGAAACTCACTCCCATTGTCCAGGGCATCCACAACAGCCACAGAAACACAGATATGTCCCCAAAGGATGGCACGTCCCCGGGGGCTGAGCAGGATCACAGGGCAGCTCTGCCCAGCAGGGACCAGGCACTCTGCCCAAAGGGAGAATCCTGCAAATTCCCAATGCTGGGAACCCACATGAGCCTGTCTCTGTTTGGTGCAGGAGATGGGGACTGTTAGCAAAGAGGGAAAGGGAAAGCACAGGAGGTTTTCTGCTGAGCTGAGGAGGAGCAGCAAGAAGCAGAGTCAATGCCAAGCTGTCAGAGCAGGGCGAGCTCTGCACCAGGCAGCTGAGCCAGGAAAGAATCTGAGGAGACCAGACCTTCCCCAGGAAGATGGATTTCAGGCTGTGGAATTGTGCTGGGTTTGACTGGGATAGAGATGATTTTCTTTACAGCAGCTACTACAGGCCATGGTTTGGATTTGTGAGCAGGGGGCTGTAGGGGCTCAGTTGCCAGCCAGGAATTCTGGAAGAAGTGGGGAGTGAGTTAATGATGTCATAAAATCACTTCTCTTCATCCAGCTGAAGATAAGCTGGGAACTGAAACTCTCCACAGCACAAGAATCCCCATCCTCACGAGCTGAGGCCAAGAGCTCCAACTCCTCACTCTGCTGCTCTCCAGGAGTCAGTGCTCCTACACCAGAGCTGTGATTGCTCCAAGGAAAACCTCCCATTTCATCCAGCAGCCTACCGTGGGCACAGACCCCAGGGCTGGTAATTAACCCTGTGCTCGTTAGCAGGGTCCATTTGCTCACCTGGATGATCGATGTGGTAATGGAACTTATGGAGGTTTGCCTGGTTGTCCAGTGGTGCCAGCAAGGAGCGAGGGCTTTTGCTGATGGTGGGATCTGTCAGCACATCGTGGGTGATTCTGCCATAGGTGTTCCCAAATTTGAAGGGGAACTGAGGAACGTAGCCCCCATAGCTGAGGAGGAAACCAAAAAGGAGCCATCACCGAGATGGCAGTGGGAGACATCCACTGGTGGGGTAAATCCCAGGTTTGGGCTGGAACAGACCTTAAAGCTCATTCAGTTCTACCCCTGCCATGGGCAGGGACATTTTCCACCATCCCAGGCTGCTCCCAGCCCTGTCCAGCCTGGCCTTGGGCACTGCCAGGGATCCAGGGGCAGCCCCAGCTGCTCTGGGCACCCTGTGCTGGGGTCTCTCCACCCTGCCAGGGAACAATTCCTGCCCAAAATCCCATCCAGCCCTGCCCTGTGGCAGTGCAGAGCGTTTGTACCCCAGACAGGTCCTGGCAGGGAAGGGGATGGATGGGATGAGCACAGGGGGAGAACAGAGACCACACGTGTGGCCAGGAGGGAGTGTCTGTGTTCCACATGTGTGTTCCCACCTGGCAGCACGAAAACTGGCTCATCAATTCACAGGCATGTACAGGCACAGGCCTTTGGCTTGTGGAGAAACACAGGATGAGGTCAGGTAGCAGCACCTGTGGATGGGAAAACTCCCAGCACAGCCTGGGCTGAGGTGGCTTTGGCAGGACCAACATCAACAATCCCCCAGGTAAAATAACATTTCCAGTTCAATGTGCCCCAGTTTAAACTTTGCAGTGCCTCTGTGCTCTGGCACATTGTGAGTAACTGAGAAAATCCCAGTATTGAAACTCAAAAATCAGAATAATTCCAGTATTGAAACTCAAAAATCAGAATAATTCCTCTCTTGCAGCCTCTGCTCACAGTGAGGAGCGGGCCCTGGCTGTGAGCCCACCCAGGCAGTGCCTGGCACAGGGAAGGTGTCTGTCCCTGGAACAAACACAGCTCTGGTTTTTTGGGATCTCTGCACTGCCCAGTCCCTGGGATGGCCACTGTGACTTGTTGGTGGCTAAGGGCAGGGCAGGTGCTGGAGCTCTGGCTCTGCTCTGAGCCACCAAGAGAAACTCGAGCTGTTCCAGTCTCAGATTTCCTAATGGTGATGTCATTCCAGCGCTGAGGAAAGGTAGAGCAGCCACTTGCAAGGGACAGACAGAAACATTCCATCAATGAGCCCAGCACTGGTCTGGGGATAAAGCCAGATGATGCATGAGGATCATAAGATGATGAGTAAGTACTTTCCCTTCCAAATAGTTTAAACAACAGCCAGCAGAGCTGTGCATTTACTCTTGGCAGGTTTCCCCACTCTGCAGGCAGGATTCTCCCTCCAGAGCAGCTCATCCCCAGGGATTCTCAATGAGTCTTGCAACAGGGATGATAAAAACCAGCAAGGGCACGGATGACACAGCCCAAATAATGACAGGATGGCCAGAGGGACTTTGATCATGGACAAAAATCACAGCTGGGCTGAGGAAGGGCTCTGTTCCCCTGCAGTTAAACACGAGGTGACCTGGGTGAGTCGCTCTGGGTGCACAAGAAGGGATCTGCCAGGGAGGGAGTTACAAACACTGCTGGTAAAAGCCTGGGGAAAGGATCAGCAGGGCTGTTTGTGCTGATGTTGATCCTTTTGGGGATCCCTGTTTGGGGCTCAGGCTGATGAGCAGTGACAGCCTGAGCCCATCTCACCCTTCCCTTGCTCAGCCTTATCTGTTCCATCACCACTCCCAGGCTGCCACCCAAACCTGCTCTGCCTCCCTGGTCGCCAGCAAAGCCCTGGCCCTGGGCCCATCCTCACTTGTCTCCAAACCCTCCCCAGCTCTGCAGAGCAGGGCTGAGCCCAGGATTCACAGACTGACCCCTTCTCTGCCCCCCCAGACCTTCCCAAGCCATCCCACTCATTGGGTTTGGGCTTCCCAGCGCTCCCCAGCACTGTGGTGGCTTCCCAAGGTCCTGCTGTGACCATTGCCTGGCCTGAGTGACCACAAGGTGCTTTGGTGGTCTCTGTGGGTTCACTGGCACAGGGGGGTGCAGCACATGGGACACCTGGGGACAGCCTGGGCACAAACCCTGCTCCTGTGACACCCCAGTGCAGGGCTCTGCCCTTCAGGCAGCTCCTCCTCAGCCTCAGTACCCAAAGCAGATGCAGAGCAGCTCCTCCAGCAGCCAGGGGGGCTCAGGGAGAGCCCTGAGCCTGCACAGCACCAACAGGAACAGCAGCAGGACCTGCTCCCTCCTCCTCCTCCTCCTCCAGAGAGGAGCAGCCCCAGCTGCTGCCAGGTTTGGAGCTGCCCTGGGAGCTGCAGGCAGGGAGGGGTGAGCAAGGGAAGGTGTTGAGGCTTTTGGGGCTGCAATTCCAGCCACAGCTCCCTCTTTGCTGTCCCTGGTGTTCCCCAAGCCACTGTCAAGCACAGCTTTGACAGCACACAAGGAACGTCACATCAGATGGCCACAGCAGTGCAGAAATGAGTTAAAAACCCCCCAGCCTCAGAGCTTATCTAAGTGGGAAGGTCCAGAGATCAGTAATGGAAAATCCTGCCCTGTCACTGGGAGGGGAAGGGCTGAGTTGGTCACCGCAGGAGCAGCCTGAAGGAAATGAGCTCCAGCCTCTCCCTGTGGCTCAGGATCTGCCTCCCCAGACCTGCCCTGCACCACAGGACGGGGCTGGCATTCCCTGTGCCAGCACTCACCCCAGCCTGGGCTGATCCCAGGGATTCCAGACCCACAGCAGCTGCTTTTCCCCTGGGGGCCATTCCCACCCCACACCAGGTCCCACCACAGGACCCCACACACATCTCAATTCACAGCAAATCCCTCCCATTCCCATCTTACCTTCTCCCCTGTAACTCATCCAGGCTTTCTTCTATCCAAGCCTTTAGAGGAGAGTGTCACAAAGAGCTTTGGAAAGAAATCCAGCTACTTATGGAGCAGATCATAAACCTTTCCAGTCTGACCCAGCAGCAGGCCATGGCTCCAGCCCAGTGACCAGAAGGTGTCACATCTGTACAACCACTTAGACAAAGGAGACTTCCAAAAATCCTTGATGCAAATATTAAGACAGTTTGGAAGCCAAACCCTGCACAGTAGCTCTGGTGACATTTGGCAGCTTAAAAGAAATGGGGAAAAATGGGGGGGAAAGAACCATTTTGGCTTTGCTGTGCTATGGCACAGTCTGTAGCTCTGCCCTTCTGTTTCTCCTGCAGCTCTGTCTCCTTCAGAGTGCAGTTACATGGAATATTGAACAGTGTCTTTTGTAAAAACCCAAAACATCCTGAGTCATAAATGCTCCCTGATCCCAAGCAGAGCCATTTGTGTTGGAAATGGATGTTTTGGATGAACTTACCCAGGAATGTAGTAGGGGTTTTTAGGGAAGATGTTGTTTCCCTTGTAGGCTGCCATGATGGTGTTACAGCTCGAGGTGGGGAGGGGGGAAGGAGACACAGCTCAGTGCAGTCACCAGGGGAGCCTCTGTGATGTCAGCCCCCAACAGCTTCCACCTGCAGCACAAAACCCCTCAGCTTCTGCTGGACACAGCTCTTTCTTTCCCCACCTGGAAGTTTTGGATGAGCACAGGAATTTCAGAGTGTTTGTCCGGCTTCCTGAGGGCTCCCAGCCCCGGAGACAGCGGTGCCAGATGTTCCCTGTGAGTGGCCTCAGCCCAAAAACGTGTCCATGGCTCCCACCCCTCAGCAGGGCTCTGGGGAGCCTGGCTGTGCCTGCCCCAGGCCCTGTGCTGGCTGCAGTGGAGGCTCAGCCACCCCTCCTGAGGATGGGGTGAGCCTTCACTGCCCAATTCCTGCAGGATAAAGGTTGTTCCCATTCCCAACCCCTCATGGCCAGTGCACAGGGGCTCCTGTTCTGGAGATGAAAAAGCTGCTGATTAAAATGCAGCACCAACCAACAACCCCAGGCCCATCCAGGTCCCACCAGCACGAGGGGATTTGGGCTGGCACCTTTCCAGCATTTCCAGAAACTCCCTTTAAAACTCTCTTCATGGTGAGTGGCTGCTCCCTCCAAACCCAGGGGTGACACAGTCCCTGAAGAGCTGCTGACCCCACCAAAATGTCAGTTCTCAGGGCAGACACCTGGGTACATAAAAAGAAGTGGAAATTCACTTTTGTCAAGGTTATCATTAGAATTTATTGATATGAGACAAACTTTGTATGTCACCATGTCAATGGAGGAACAGCATGTCCAGATGTCACAGAGCCCACCCAGGGACACTCTGTGCCCCAGGAGACCTCACACACAGCTGGGTGGCACTGGGGACATCTCCTGGGGCAGGAATGCTCCACAAATACCTTGGCTGAGTGGTTTTGCCAGACAGCAGCACCCAGCAGCAGGAACCTGCTGGCTCTGACACCAACAGGGAAGGGCAGCTCACCCCAAACCCCTCCAGTCCCAGAGGGGAAAAGAGAAAACCTGTTTGGGGGTGAGTTTCCAGGAATCCCTGCAGGGAGGTGAGAGCACCCTCTGGCTCCCTAAAGGGGCTCAGAGGAGCAGCTGGGGTGGGGACACATCCCCAGCAGGACAGTCCAGGCATGGCAGGAGCCTTCCCAAGGAGCAGACACAGCCATGCCACGCTCCAGCCTGGCATCTGCCCATCCAGAAGCGGGGTTTTTTCTTTTAGCACAATTATCCCTGTGTTGTAACCACTCAGACATTCCCCTCTCAGCAGTGCCCTCTCACAGCACAGCCAGCCAGTCATCTATGCTTGTGGCTAAAATGAAAATTATCTTTATAATCTTTACTGGAAATATATTTTATGCTGGATTCTACTTTAAAAAAAACAAAAACCAAGTGCTGAGTTTTCATCTTCTCTCAGCTTATGAAATATTTGGTTTGGTCCTAAGTATCTTGCTAAATGATTAGAGAGGGAATAGCAGAGTATTCCCCAGGCACCTGGTAAATCCACAATGGATTTATTGTAGAAACACACTGAACTCTCTAACTCTCTCCAAACGGATTTCAGAGCCCTCTAAAACCCTGCAGAGAATGAGCTGCTTGTGACAGGACACACAAAAAGCAACCCCAAGTTCAGTGAGGCCCCCGCACTGAGATAAAGGCCAGGCCACGGCAGGGGACAGCCCTGTGTGACAGCAGTGACAGAGCCTGGCCATGGCACCAACCTGCTGCACATCTGGAGAGGAACATCTGGCTCCAGACACACACCTGTGTGCTGCTCCTGCCCCTCTGCTGACAGCTGTGACAAGTGACAGAGGGTTCTGCTTCCACCAAATCTAAGTTCCCTCTCACACATAACAGCATCGATTTAGAGATCTCATATTGATGGGTAATTATACAGGATTAATTGCACATCAGTCCATTGTGGCTACAAGTTCATTAGGTTAATAAATCTACATAGTGACAGTAGTACAGTATCAGCTACTTCTCAATACAAACTCCCTACCCTAACCTTAACTTGTAGGTCAGAGGAAGACCTGCTAACACAGTGACCTCCCAAAGACCTTTAACATTCATTTTAAAATCATTTTTCCTAGAAAATAAAAAAAAAAAAAATCCAGTGTGGGGAAAACGCACATATATAACCAAAGCAGTGCTTAACAACCACAGGAAAACAGAACATCATCTTGGACTCTTGTTTCAGCATCTTCTGTGGACCCCGGCAGCGTCACTCCCGAAGGGTCCCTAAATGCTCCGTCAGTTCCCTAGCCCATTAAACCATTTCCCAGCTCCAGATGTTTCTGGCCTCCCACCATTGTCTGTAGCAAGAGCACACAGAAACACTTGCTCATGTGCACAAGACTTCCATCAGATTCCATGGAATAACTCTAGAAGGCTGCAGTCTTTCCTTGCAGAAGCGGCAGCGCTCTCACCGACCGGTGCCTTCTCTTCCAGCCAGCAGAGAGCTCCAAGTCCCTCCAAGTTTTACTCATTCCTTTTGCCCAAAGGTGTGTGGCTAAAAAAAAAAAACAACCCTCTCTCACAGTATTCCCAGGAAATGATTCAGAAGAGGAGATGATTTTTCAACCAAATGAGATCCTCTGGTCCTGTGTGTCAGACCATGGCCAAGAGAATGAGCAGCTGCCATGGACGTCCCAACTGCAATAGGCCAGGGAGGGGAGCGAGGGGGCCTGACCTGAGGGACAGGCAAAGACACCCCAAAGTCACTCTGCTCTCAACAGCTTGCCTCTTTCCTGGAGTCAAATGTTTGATTCCATCTGTTCTAGCAGGAACTGGTGGATCATGTCAAAAGTGGGACGATCTTTGATATCCCTGCTCCAGCACTTCAGCATCAGGTCGAACACAGGGTTAGGACACAGAGGAGTCTGGGAGAGATAGATCTGAAAGGAAGAGAGTCACGGTATTTCAGTGGGGGTCCCACAAAAGAACTGAAACTTTACTAAAGCAACACCAAAAGACAGTTTCATTCCAGGTTTACAAGACACAGCCACCATGCAGGGTTTGGAATCCCTCCAGCCCCAGCCTGGCACTGCAGTCTGGACAGAGCCTCTCAAACAGCACCACGGACACTTTGCCAGCTTGGCTGATGAGCTGGTCACAGAACAGGCCTTTGTCCCCCAAGAAAACAGGAATGCTTCTGAGGGCTTTGTCTTCCAAGAGACAGCAAAACACAAACCAAAACCAAATTTACCACAATAAAATCCAAGTACTTTCAACTCACCGCAGACAACCCATGAGGCTTTCTAAGCATCGTGACAGCTTGTTAGCAGAGACAGAAAAAACACCTTTTAGAGCTTATCTACAGCACAGCTTGGCAGAATGATTCTACTTCTCCCTCTCATTTTTTTTAGGCTCTTGGCTAATCAGTATTTAGAAGATGGTGAGTAAACCCCTCATCATTTTATTTCCCTTAATTCTCTGGTGCTGAAGGTGAATTTTGGGGAGAACTTCTCTGAACTGGTACTCCACAGCTTTGGGTGCTGAGGAGATGGAATGTCCTGCACCATCACTGGTATCTATTATTGAGGGCAGCAGCAGTGAGGACAGAGCAACACAAAAGCCCTTCAGCAGCTGGGGATGGCCAAAGGCTCCTTGGCATGTGTGGGGATCCTACAGGGAGAATCTGATCCCCTGGGAACTAACAACTGCTCCTTCCCACCACAACTCCCTCCTGCTCCCTCATCCTTCAGAGGCAATGCTGGTGGGAGAGTGTTGACAGAAGGAAGGAGCGAGAGGATTGTGTGGGAGAGCCTGGAAAAGCCGAAGCCAGGGCAGAGCGAAGTGGTTTAGAACAGGGAAGAGGCAGGACAGAGCCTAGGGATTCTTCCAGTGAGACTCAGAGAGTGAAAACTGGGCCCAGAAAAGGGGGAGGAGAGGCAGGACACAGGTGAGCAGCTGAGTAGAAGCAGAGACTGCTGCAGGTGAGGTGAGGGCAGCAGGGAGGCCCTGGAAGAGCCCGTTGTGTTCCTTACCTGCCTGCCCTGGCTGCGGAAGAACTCGCCCGTGTTCTCGATGACCTGCTCGTCCGTGAGGAGGCTGTAGGGCTGCTCCTTGCACAGCACAAACATCTCCCACAGGGTCACCCCGAACGCCCACACGTCGCTGGCTGTGGTGAACTTGCCCTGGGGACAGAGAGGATCTGCTCAGCCAAAGCCTCTCACTCAGCCTGCACCCTCTGGGGCTCAGGCTGGGGAGAGGCTCCACACAGAGCCAGCACAGCGGCTGAGCTGCTGCCAGCCACACACACAGGGGTGTCAGGGCTCTTTGTAGGGCAGCAGGAGCATGTGGGGGTCCCACAAGCCCTAAGAAGGTGCACTTTTCACAGGGGCAAAGCTTTGTAACAGGGAGCAGGTCCCAGAGAAGGCCAGAGACTTCTGCCCCTCCTGAGACAGTCTGTTTGCAGCAGAATAAAATCAGCTGAGGGAGGGGAGACAGTCACTGCCTACCTCCACCCAAAACAGCAGAGCTCACAGAAAAGCCTTTGAAAGGGAAGCAAAGCCCTCAGGGTGAAAGCAGAGCCAGAGCAGTCTCCAGACTCTTAGAGAAAAGCCCAAGATAATTTTGATTTTTGCACATTTAAGAAGCCACTGACAATCTTCTTGCTGTCCCTGTTTTCTGTCTTCCAAAAATGTGCCCAAACTGGCTGTGTTTGAAACAATGTGTTTCTGAAGAAGTAAAAAGAAGATTGCTCAGAAAATAACACCAAACACTTGAGGGGCTGGAGGGCCTGTTTGGGCAGAAAACATCACAGCCCCACTACACCCAGGCTTTTCTGGAAACTCCTGCAGTCAAGGGTGCCCAGAGCAGCTTGGATCCCTGGAAGTCTCCAAGGGCAGGTTGGAAGGTGCTTGGATCACCCTGGGACAGTGGAAGATGTCCCTGCCATGGCAGGGGTGGCACTGGATGAGCTTTAAGTTCCTTCCAACCCAAACCATTCCATGATGTTCTGTATGTCCAAGGGCATGCTCCTTTCCCAGGACATGAATTATGTCCAACACAACCCCATGGATTTCCCACCAGGGGCCACGTGCAGCACAGACCTTGGTGCTGAGTGTCTGGCACAGAGCTGTGTCACTGCTGAGGATCAGAGGAAGGAACAAAGAGGGGCTTTGTGCAGTGCCTACCAGCAGGATGCTTTCCCAGGCCATCCAACGGATGGGCAGCACAGCTCTCCCCTGGATCCTGTAGTAATCCCCACTGTAGAGGTTCCTGCTCATGCCAAAGTCTGCAATCTTGATGGTGTAGCTGTTCCCCACCAGGCAGTTGCGAGTTGCCAGATCCCTGTGCACAAAGTTCAGGGATGCCAGGTACTTCATCCCCGAGGCGATCTGGGTGGCCATGTACAGCAGGTTGGAGTGGCTGCAGTAAAGGGAAATGCAACAAAGAAAAAATCAGTGGAGTTCCCCCACACTCAAGACTTTATTGTATTTGATGTGTGAGTGAACTGTTGTTTTATTTTCTGCCATAACAGTGGAACTAAACTGTCTCATTCCAGGGCATGAACAGCCAAGATCCTGAGCTGACTAAGGAGGAACAGACAGGCTGTCCCTGAAATTCAGGCCTTCACAACCTGACATCATTTAGATTTATTTTTTCAATATCAAACACTAATCTTGAGATTTTCAAAGAGTTCATGCATCAAAGCACCAACTTTTTGCAGAGAGACATGAAAAATTAAGCTCAGAATCTCATCTCTTAAAAACCACTTAGCCTGGTATTTCAAACACCACCACTATTGGATGCTTATATTAACATAAGTGTGTCACTTCACTTTAAAGAGAGTTGACTTGGTTTTAAATATGCTAAACATCACTGAAAATAGAAACAGATGCATTTTCCATCTAATTTAATTTTAATTCCTCCATTAGCTAAATGAAGATAGGATTAATAAAGCTGCAGGATACAGAGTTTGGAGCAGGCAGAGCATTCCTGCCAGGACACAGCCCCTTCAGAGCTGCCTCTGCTGGACACTTTCTCCCTGGGAGGGACAGAAGGAGAGGCTGAAGATCAGTGGGAGACAATGAAAAACTAGAGGCAGAGCCAAGTAATGGAAAGCAAGGAAGAACAATGTGAGTGACAGTGCTCAAAGTCAGATGAGAAATGAAGAGGAGATAAAGGCAGAACCTTTGGAGGCTTTGGCTAGGAAAGAAAAACAACTTACAAGTCTAAAAGTGAATCAGATTTCAGATGGGCAGAAAGGGCAGGAGAGAGCTGGAATCTATTGCTACTCACACACAAATCCTCTCTCCTCCTACAGGCATGTCCTGACTGCAGGACACCAGGTTAACACTCCTGACAGGACCACTGACAGGTCCTGGCAGCAGGGCTGGTGTTGTCTGGCTGTTGTAGGCCCCAGCCAACTCCTGTCCAGCACATCAGAGCTGGCTCTGCCTGCCTGAACCACAAATACAGGAAATCCTTTGGGGAGGAACACACCAAAGGCTCAGCAGTGCTACAGCTGCTGGTCAGTGCAGGGTTCTTATTAAGCAGAATCTATTAGTCCTACATGACTCTCCTCTGGGGAAAGCATTTCTGCAATAGCAGAGATGCTTTTATGGCAGATTTAATCCTTCCATTGAGGAAAGAGACAAGTGCCACTGCTCACAAATGTGTTTTTCTTTGCCAAATATTCTCCTTCTGTTGGCTGATGAAATTTTCTTTTTACTGAAGCTCCACACTCAGCTCCTCTGAAGCAATATTTTTTGGACACTGGAAAACATATGAACCATCTTAAAAGCCTAAGAGACATTCCTGATTTTCACCCCAAAATTCTTGCTGTAATGCAACTGATTTTCATACCAATGAAACATTTGATGCAAGCCCACTAACAAGGAGATGGTCACCTCGATAAATACATCTAAGATGGTCTCTGTGACCAGAACAGCTGTCAGGGACAATTCAGGGACCTCCAGAGGCCTCAGGAACATCCCCACACCAGCAGGACAGGTGCCCACATGCCATGGCAATGGCCAGGCTGCAGGGAAGGCACAAGCAGATAAATCTGGCGTCTCTGTATCTCTGATTTATCCCAACAAGGCAGGCAGCTTCTCTTACGTGACACAGGGGATGTTGTTTGAAATGGCAAATTTGCTGTAGATCTCCCTCTGAGACAGGAACTGGTTGAGGTCTCCATTCTCCATGTACTCTGTTATCATGCACAGGGGGTCGTCCCGCACGCACACGCCCAGCAGCCGGATGATGTTCGGGTTCTTCAGCCGGGACATGATCTTGATCTCCTTCAGGAAATCATTCCTGGGAAAACAGAAAACACCTTTGAATCCCAAGCTGTTCCTTCATCTGGGGAGAGCACAGGAGTGCTGTGCTCTGAACTGTGCTGTGCTGAGAACTGTGTTCTCAGTTCAGAAGGATTTACACTTTGCACACACAGGTGTGAAACTGGTTCTGAGCTCGTGTTCAAACGGGATGAATGCAGCATTTCAGGATTCCCCTATCCCCCACTCCCTGCTGTGTCCTGCTCCTGCCATGAACACGTGGAATATACACCACAGACACACAGCACTGCCTCAGCAGGGCTAACCTGTGCTTGGGGAGTATTTGCTTTCCTCCCCAGCTGCTTGGCACTGCAGCTGCACTTACCTGGCTGTTTTGTTGACATCTGATCTCAGCATCTTCACTGCCACAAGAACCGGCTGGTGAGTGAATTCTGAGGATGAGACTCCCAGGAATTCCAGCAGGCCATCAGCTTCACAGAGGTGCACCTGCAGGGCAGGAGGCAGAGGCAGCTGTAAGAGCACACACAGGCAGAAAACCAGAGGGAAAACAACATCACAGCCAGGTCACCGGTTGGTCACAGCTGGCAGAATGAACCAGTGGATGATCTGGTGAAGGTGACACAGCTGTGATCAGAAGTGACCCAAGGGTTGGCCCTAGATCCTGACACAACGAGTCCAGGACACAGCCCATGACACAGGAGCACACAGGGATCAAAGCCAGATGAGTTCCCAACAAGCTGCATTTACTGCACTGCTGCAGCAGCCTGGGGCAGCCCAGTTCACCCAGCACCTACTGGGGACATTCAGGAAGGCTCCAGAGCCTGGATTTGTCTGCTCTGCACTAAAGCACCTCACACAACCCCAGAACCATCAAACCATGGCCTGGCTTGAGGCATTGCTCTGACTTCACTGAGGAGCATCCAAGAACTACAGCCAGTTATCCAAAATCCTCAAATTCCAGAGAAAAAAAAGAAAAGTGTGTGTGGATGTGTCTCTGATGTGAACACTTCACCTGTACACATACCCAAAGATAAATAAGTACTCTAATGACTACACACAATCCCAAATTTCTTCCAATAAATTAATGATTAATGATATAAAATAACTGCCAGGGCTGTACAAGAAGGGGTGGCAAGACACTTGCTTTAGAATTTACCAGAATGTGCATCCAAACGAAGAACTGGGTGGGGAAAGCAGACAGACCTGAAGGTGTGGGCAGGAAAAAGGACTGGAAAAGGGGAGCAGACTGGATGTGTCAGTCAAAGACTTGCAGCAGTGAGGGGAATGTAATGGGAGCATAATGAATTTTGTATGAAGAGAGCAGCAAGGACTTATGTCACAAGCATGGCGAGGGGAAAAACGAGGCAGCAGAGAAAATGGGACAAACCTGCCGAACGGGAACAAAGGTGGACAAAACAAACAAAACAAAGGTGGACAAAGATGCTGCTGCAGTCCCCCAGAGAATCAATCAGCTGTGGGGAAAGTACAGTCATGAGACCTGGGACAGGGAAGAGCCACAGGAACAAGCACAGGTAATTCCGAGGTGATGTGTCACCAGGGAGGGGTGCTGCTGCTTCCATGGGAGCAAGGAAGACAAAAGACTGAAAGGAGGGAAAAGTGGGGACCTGGAAGAAGCAGTGAGCTCTGTTTCTAGGAGCACACAGAGCCAGAGCAGTGGAGCAGAGCACGGCATGGCCAGTGTGGGAAAGACTAAGGAGGTGAGAAGCAGAGACAGGAAAATGTGGTGCAGTGTATTTGTAAAAGAGCCTGTGATCCATGGAAAGGAACAGGCTCTGAATCCATCCTCGAGGAAAATGGAGTGGGAGAGCCATCTCCAATACAGAGGAGGAGTTATTGCAGTTATTAGAAGGACAGCATGAGAGGAAAAGAGAAACCAGAGGCAAGCCAATGAGAAAATCCTCTGTGTCCCACTTCTGGAGCACAGAGCAGGATGCAGGAAAGAGCAGAAAGGGCTACACTGACAGCCAGGTGAGGAGGCTGAAGATGTCAGCACCTGCCCAGGAAACAGTGAGGGGACAGGAAAGGGGCTGGGGTAGGGAAGGTGGGGTGTCAGAATGGAGGAACCACAAAGATGGGAACATCACAGAGCAGGCAGTGAAGGGCTGTGCTTGCCAAAATGTGATAGAGAAGCAGAATTTAAGGCTGTGAGTGAACAAAATTTGGGAAGAAAAGACAGTGGAAAAGTGAGAGCAGGAGAGAGAAAGACCTGCTTGGGATGGAGCTACAGATGGTGTGAAAATGAAGTAGGGAGAGAAGAAAAGACGAGGTGAAAGCACTGACAGCCTTGAAATGAGCTCAAGAAGCAAAAAGGAAAGCTTGGCAGAGGACAGATGTGTGCATCATTCTGCCTGAGGCTGCTGACAAACTGGGGCTTGAGCAAGCAGCAGTGCCAGAAAATATGAGGGTACCACAGTGCCTGGGAAATGTCTTTGCTTGGGTCAGTGTGCAGAGCACCCCCAGAACGTCCCTCTGTGACTGGGAAAGCTGCTCTAGCAGTGTTAGCTGGACTGTGGAGAGTTTCCAAACCCACATATCTAAAGGTGGGTGACAGCCATCACATTTGAGATGTCCATGGAAGATGCAAAAGTTTGAATTCCCAACCCTAGGTGGGAATGAGCAGATACAGATAGCAGACAGAAAAATCTGCAAGTTCATCTATTGATAAAGACCCCAGTGGTACCAAAGAGCCTGACAGCTGCACAAGGCTCACTGGCTTAGCCTGGGGGATATATCAGCTTTCCCCAAGGGCAATTTTAAATGCAGAACCCTCAGTCCCATCAAGCAACACCTCAAAAGATTCCTCTCTGCCAGGCACCTCCTCTCTGCTGGAGAACAAGCAGCAGAGAATGGCTGTACCTCTCCAAACTGTCCTTCCCCCAGCTTCTCCTTGAGCCTCAGCTGCTGCCGGGGGAATTCCCCCACGGAGATGTCCTTCTTGGTCAGGGAGTCCACGGTGAGGGCTGGCACTGCGTACATGTTGTTGCCAGTCACCCCCTGCAGGTGCACGATGTCGGTCTCGGCGTAGTGGGGGACGTTGTTCTGGAAGCCTTGGTGAGGGGTGGACTTGGTGAGGTCGGGCTCAGCGTAGTCCCCACTGCACACTGAGGGGAGCCAAAGACAGCTGAGTCACACACTCACCCCCCCAGAACCAGCACGTCCCACTTTCCACTCCTCCCGATCCCACAGCTCTGGGAATTTGGCCACCTGCTGGGACACCTACACAGGAGATGCTGCTCTGTTTTAACCAGAGCAATACCTGTGAGCTGCCAGCAAATTCCTGCTCAACACAGCCTGTTCTAGCCAGCCATGAGAGCTGCAGTTCTTGTCCAGAGAGGGAGGCAAGTCTGAAGTGATTTTTTGCTTCTGATTCATCCCAAGTACAATCAGTTCCCATTACCTGACTTGGGGATGTTCTTTCAAACCTGCTCTGTGTTCCCTCCTGCAACAAGAACTGATAGAGGCTTCCATTTCTCCCATGTCCTCTGGTAGCAAACTCCCCTCCCTCTTACAGCTTATTCACATAAATATGGGACAGTGCTTTAGAATTAACTCCCTGTAAGGTCAGTATTACACAGAATAATTTTTCTGCTTCAAATTCACACCCTGGCTCAATCCAGCCTCCCTGTGTAGAATAATGCTGGATCTTAGCAACTTGTCAGTGTGAGGAATGCAGCACTGCCCTTCCATTCACCACTGAGCACTGCCTTCACTGAGCACAAAACACTGCTGGAAACATTCCCTTCTGTGTGGGTCCAAAACCGTCCAAGCCACGGACAATTCCCTGCTCTATTTCCTTCTGGTTTCTCTGCAGGAATTTCAAAGAGCCCTGGCTGCAGAGAAAGGTGTTAAAGGTCTTCTCCCAGGAGTGCTGCAGGCAGCATCTCCACAAATGAAGTGTGATTGCTCTGACTGCCCAAACCAGCTGCTAGAAGATGACCTGGGTAATACATCAACAGTTGTCAAACAGAATAAAAGGCCACCACCCTCTAGTGGGACTGCTGCTCCAGCTGTCACAGTTCCGTGCCAAGAGGTGCCAGTGTTCCACAACACTGCCTGAGCTCCCTGGGCTGCTGCACTGCACAGGAGCCAAGGATGGCAAACTTTGACAAGTGGCATATTTTACAATCTGACAGAAATAAAAGAAGAAACATGCAGCTTCTGAAGACTGATGATGTTACCTGAATCCTCTGCACTTTGGGAGAGCTCTGGAAGCTTTTGGAGCAGTGTAGCTGGCTGGTGATATTCCAAATCCAGTGGGAAAGCACGTTCATAGGTGGGGTTTGACTGGTGGATCTGGGTCTGGTTGTTGGCAATGGTGTAGCTGTAGAAGGAGAGGCGAACTGTGGCATCCTCCTCCAGGATTCGACGTGGGGCCTGCAGAGGAGATGGGGAAAAAAAACCCCAAAAACACGGAGGTGATGCTCAGTTGTTAAGTAATGCCTTGGCTGCAACCACAGCAACTTCCAGTAATATCCTGGAGAGGGCTGGCATCCTCCCCTGCTGTGGGAGCAGCTTTAGCTACTCCATGAAGCTGGGGAAACCTTCTGCTTTTCACACAGTTCTGAGCTCATTAGGGTTAATGATTAGTTTTGAACTTGTGTCAACAAAATAGCCCCATTGTATTACCTTTTCCAACCTTTTTTGCACATATTGCTTCCAAAGAATGATGATTATAATCATCAGGAGCAGCAGAATAATAGCCACGAGGCAGCCCACGAGGATGGAGGTGTTGGAGTCATCTGCCTTCTCCCCTATCCAGGTGCTGGTTACAGAAGATGTGGTTCCTGCAGTCACAGAGAAGGAGAATCCAGGGTTAAAGCACCAGAGGGGTTTTCTGTGCCAGCCATCTTCCTACAGTCTGGCAGAGAAAAGATCTTGGGCAGCTCCCTGAACCAGCTGTGTTCACATTTTACTCTTACCAGAAATTCTCATTCTGGAGGCTCAAAGAGCTAAGAACTGTGCAGAGCACTTCTGCAATCAGAGGCTGCTGTGAGCAGAACAGATTCCTGCAGTGGATCCATCCTAGAGCAGGCAGTGCTCAGAGTTTCCCTGGTCCACATAAATCTCCAGCCCACGTTCTGAGGCAGCCCTGGCCAGCTGAGGCTCACGTGCTGCCCTGTGCATGAGGCACTGCTCAGCCATCCCCAGATCTCCAGAAATGGAGGGAAAGACCACATGAAGTGGGATGTTCCTGTGAAATTCCCCAACACTTGAGCCCTTGGATTGGCCAAGGAGCAGAAGTCCTTACCCCAGGTGCCCTCAGTCACGTTGAGCTCCGTTTCCAGGAGATCCGTGGTGCTTGTGGCTACCGTAACAAAACTGGGATTCACACTCTCCATGTCTGTGGAAGGAAGGGAAATGTGTCAGCCCAGCAAAAGCTCCCTGCTCCTGCCAGCAGTCCCTGCAATCCCAACCCCAGCAGGAGAGGGCTGGTGCTCAGGCAGCAGATCAGGAACAGGAGGGGCTGCTGTCTGCAAGGTGAGCAACAAGCAGCACCCAGCGAATTCCTCCCTCAGCAATGTCCTCTCATTACAGCTGATTAGAGATTTTAGAGCACAAAGTTACACCTTTCCCTGTTAGTCCTGGTGGTTTTCTCCAAGACTTCTGTCCTTTTCCCTCCAGAGCCTTTTATAGCATTTCATGGCATTGACTTCTGCATCATAGTTAAGGCTTAAGGAAAACAAAAAGTCAGCCTCTATTTTTTCATAATCTGCTAAACTTGATCTCATCATCTCTAGATATACTTGAATTATTCCTAACAAAATACTTGGTAAAGAGAAGCAAAAATCAATGTCATAGCCAGCAGAGAGCTGGGGAAGTGGAGGCAGGTCCTGATCTCTTCACTCAGGTGACCAGTGACAGGTCTCAAGGAAACAGCTGGAGTTGTGTCAGGGTCAGGCTGACCAGGGAAAGGGTAAGTTCCTTCCCCCAGAGGCTGCTGGCACTGCCCAGGCTCCCCAGGGAATGGGCACGGCCCCGAGGCTGCCAGAGCTCCAGGGATGCCCAGGCTGGGATGTTGGGGGGTCTGTGCAGGGCTGGGAGCTGGGCTGGGTGATCCTGGGGGTCCCTCCCAGCTCAGGGGATTCTGTGATTCTCTGATCTGTTTCAAAAAAGAACAACTGCTCTACAGTCTGGTTTTTGGTTGCCCTGGTCGTGCTTCTGCTCATGTGCATCAGTATCAGCCTGGAAAGCAAAGGGACCTTTCAGCCCCTCCAGTACAACCAGTACAACCAGTACAACCTCCCCCTTCCCACTGTGCAGCCCCTGTCAACCCCACACATCCTGCACTCCCCACACCAGCTCTCCTGCTCCCTGTGCTCCTCCAGGTCTGCCTGAGCTCAGGAGCACTCACCTGACTGGAAGGAAATCTCACTCATCATCATCCAGGTGTCAGCGAAGTAGAAGCGGCACAGGATGGCCTTGCCCACGCGCTGCTGCAGGGGCACGGTGACAAACCTGGCGCTGGGGTTTTTGTCATCCAGGACCGTGGCCACCCCCACGGGCTCAGGCTCCCAGTCTGCGATCAGCCGGGGTTTGAACAGGCACTCCACCCTCTGGAAAATCTTCACCCCCTTGGAAAACATGTTGTTACAGTGCACCTGGGAAGGGGAGAATGGATCTGTCAGAGAGGAGATTTACTGGCACCTAAATCAAGCCCCAGGGATGCTCCTTTCGTGAAGATTTTCCATTTCCAGTAGCTCCCTGTATGAATGCAGAATGAGTGATTTCTTCCAGTGTGCAATGAGAACACTGGGCAAAAAGCTATTCTGAAACAGCCCTGAATTTTACCTGCAAAATCTACATTAATGGTCAGATTCTGGCAGCCTCTTCAAAAGGCCCATATAAAAATCCATCAAGCAAACCTTGTACTAATCTAAAGCCTTCCAGAGCGATTCTCTTTGAACATTTAACCTAAGAAGGGAAAGAAAAAACACACCTAAACTCTTAGAGTTAAAAATTTGGTATTATTTTAATTGCTTGACATAAGTAGAATTGTTAATAAGTGGTATTATTAAGCTAAAAGTTGAATTTAACCTGAACTACATGGCTCTGTTCTGCAAGTCAAAGACGGATTAGAGTGGAACTAATAACCTGATCATTAATAATAGTAAAGATGGATTGTAGTGAAATTTGTATGTAACAATCTGATCATTAATAATAGTTAGAATGGACAAAGCTGCAGCTTAAATATTACTCAGAGTTCAATGGCTGGAGTGGATAGCCCATGAATTGTGGTCTGTGAACTGTAACAACCACGTTAGAAAAATTAACTACTGAACCCACCAAAACCCCCAGAGAAACCAGTCTCAGAGGCCAGTGTGGAAACAAGACACAGCAGCCATTTGGTAATGAAACACTGAAGCAAGGAAGAGCGTGGAGAATCCACACCCAAATACTGCTCTTGGATTTTTCTTCTGTCCCTCTTGGCATGAGGAATCCCAGGGATTTCTTTGTCCTTGGTCCCTCTTTTGAGGAACCAGCAGGAGACATGACACATCACAATTGATCTCTGCCATTAGATGAGGATTGTGTCCCAAATTTCTTAGCGTTTAGAAACTTTTAGCAGCTGCAGTCTAAGATAATTCCTTCCAAAAACCACAACCTAGGAAAACCCCAAGCAGATATTCCCCTGGCATACACCTGCTCTGGCTGCACCTTGAAGACAAGTAAGGACCTGAGTTTTAGGAAACCTTCACCTAAGTCTGCATCCATCAGCTTCTCCTGGTGGCTCAGCATCACCTTGAGCTCTGTTATGAAAACCTGAAGCTCAGAACCACAATATCTGTGGCCACTGACCAGAAACCAGAAGAAATAAAGCGACTCAAAGTCTTCAATATCCCTCTGCCTGCCCCATTCTCAGTGCTCCAGCCCTCCCCAGAGACCCCAGGAATCATTTCCCAGGGACTGTGGAGTATTTGCCACTGTGACAGCAACAGTTTCCAAACCACCTACAGCCTTGAACCCGATTAATTGCTTGGCCTCTGCGAGGTCCTGCAGGGAAAAGCAGTGAAGCACTAATGAGGACAAGCAGTCTGATGAGCAGCAAAAAGACAAAAGGAGGGTATTTGCCTATAATTAAGACCAGATGAAGCTTAGACAACATTATTCAATAAGGAGAAACAGTCATTCATAACCAGGCAGGAAAGCCTGGTGCCTGCAATATTCAATTTGTGCCATATTTGGACAGGAGTTGGATGTGTTTCCATCCTGGACAGATACAGAGACATTTTCTATTGCAAACATCTCCTACTAAAGTTCAATTTTACAGCATGCAAGCCCATGCAATGCAGTTGCAATGTGGCTAACATTTATTTTTAATACTTTTTTGGATACTGGGAAAGCTCAGAGGACTGGGATAAAGCTAACAGGTAAGAGGATGCAAAAATGATCCACAGACCACCTGGCCTGTACAAAAGAAATGCAAAGCTGAAGGAGGCAACATTCAATAAATAATGAAGATTAATTTATGCTAATCAGAACAGCTTTTTAATTAGATGCTAGATGAAGTAGCTGTTCTTATGATCTGATGTGTTTGGTTTATCAGGATGATTGTGTTTACAAGACAGATTTTTGGAAGGCATCTGTCCCCAATTAGCATAGTGTGGGCTCGTGTAATATATTAATTTGATTAAACATCATCAACTAGTAATTTCAAGGCATAAATTCTCCTCTGTTTTTCCAAGAGGAATGCATTCCTAAATCAAAATTAGTTGCTACTTTTTTTTCAATGACCTGAGGGAGACAGCAGAATCACTAGCAATAAAATAAACTAGTGAGAGGGAGGGAGTTTCCTAAAATAATCTCAAGGACTGAGACCTCATGTCAGGGTAGTGAACTCAGGGACAAAAATCTAAGTGATGCTTTCCACACTGGACTTTTATCCTGGACACTAATAACTTGGAACTGAATTTTAGCATGATCCCAAAGCCTTAATGACCACTGGCTCCCTCCCTCTTGGCTTGGAGGATTACAATCATCACAAGATTCACAAACAAAGAGGAATCATCCAAAAGCAGGAAATTGGTACCATTCTTTTATGCAGTTTGATGGAAAGCCTGAGTCCAGATCCAGATTCTGTACCTCCAAAAGAGTAGACAGCAAAGAAAGAAAGGATTGGGTGACTGATCCAAAAATGACCCTTGGTCTCACCAGGAAGGCATTGACAAGTCTGCCAGCTTAGTACTGAAGCAAAGATTAAGAGAGTGGTTTAATCATTGTGTAGAAGCAGAAGTTTTCTGAGAAGGCAGGACTCTTATTTTTGCCAGCAAAAACAGGCAAAGAGCCAACAGTCGCAAGTTAAAAATAGACAAAATAAAACCAGAGTAAGTAACCACCAAAACAATTTACTTAAGGATGTGGTGGGTTCTCCTTCATTTGAAATCTCTACAAGAAAAGCCACCAATCCTTTTTAAAAGATCCTGCTGTTTACTACAGACTCAAAGTTCAGCTCATGCTTTTCCTGTGTGTTTAAATAATTTCCCACAGCACAAGCACAGGCTGAGGCATCCAGAGAAATGTTTGGTCAAAATGGAAGCACAGCCACATTCCTTTACCTCAGGGGTCAGTAAATCCTACATCCTAAATCCATCTCAGCTGCCTAAACACTGCTTCAGGTGTCTGCTTTTCATTCCTTCAAGCCAAATACTGGAAGGAGAGCCTGAGCACTGAAGAAGCAAGTGCTCACCTTCTTCACCTTTCTACACTGGAAAACTTGGGATATCTCCTGCTCAAATTCTGCTGCCAGGCATTTTGTGTGTCCTCATGCCTTGGGAAGAGTACTCAAGGCCAGGCTGGACAGGGCTTGGAGCAGCCTGGTCTAGTGGCAGGTGTCCCTACCTGTGGACCCATTCAGTGTCCAGAAGGGGCAACCTGGAAGCCCCCAGACCCAAAAAGGCTGTCCCCCTGGGGAGGGACCACGCTGAGTTACCTTCATGGAGGTGAAGTTCCGTGGGCGGTCAAACTGGAACTCCATTTCCACGGCGCCCGTGCTGAAGCTCTCGTTCCTCCAGCCCACGTAGTCATAGCCCGGCCACACGCGGTACTGGTGGCTCTGGGTGAAGTCATCCAGCCCCAGCACTCCATCTGTGAGCTGGCCCAGCCCTCCATACAGGTGCCTGGCCAGGGAGAACCAACAGTCAGCCACAGCTCCAGGGGGAGACCACACATGTCTTTCACCTGGTGCCAGCAAAACATCGATTTTCCTACTCTTGACCCATCCTGGACAAGAATTTGTTCGCTGTTCTTATGCAGCACCACGTGGGTGTTGTTTGGGCTGGGATTTTAGCCTCATTCCCAGGGAAAAGGCAGAAGATTTTGCACTGGTGTCAAGGACCAACAGCAAAGCTGAGCTACAGGCAGAGCCTCTGGAGAACGAGAACACACACACTGGAGAATGACACTGTGTGATCTCCCATATCTCACCAGGCATGGCAGGAACACTGCTCCATCCTGTGCTGGGGGAACCTGTGGGGAAAGTCCTGCAGGCAGGCACAGAACAGGAAAGTGGGGAGGGAGACCATGGGCAGCACATGAGCCACAGCCAGCTCTGCCCAGGATCATGTCTGGCATTGCTCCTGAGAGTGTTACTGGCTCTTCCCAAGGCAAATCGGCTGATTTGCCAGGACCCTGCCTCATTCCACTCCTATGTGAGGGTGCAGAGCCCCTCATACAGTTTTCCAGCACTGTTCCTGAGCAGAAGATGCCAGTGTGGCACAATTCTGACTCCCCCTGCAAGTCCTTGGCTCTGCAAATCCACCCCAGGTGAGCCCTCCTGTCACTGGAGCACAGGTACGTGTGCCTTGGAGCTGCAAAGCAGGATTTTGGAAGAGGCAAATTCCTACTTCCAGACCAGTCAGGCAGGTGAGCTAGAGATTAAGTATTTTCAAGGAGTCCTGGCTTAGCAGGTTGGGTTTTGTGCCTACACCTGCAGCTCCCTGACACTCCCCAGCACACCTGGGCTCCTCAGTGCTGGTCAGCTATGTGCAACACCTACTCTGTATATAAAAACCTTTTCCTTTTAAATATCCAAGCTCTATTGTATCAGCCCAGCTCGAAACCATCAGCTATTAATACACAAAGACATAAATATAATTAATAATTAATATATCAAGATATAAATACATTGTTATCCAACATCTTCCAAGATCCTACAAGCACAAAGAAGCATTTGGGATGCAAGACACCAGTAACAGGGTGAGTAGGAAAGAATTTTGCACAGTGACAGAGAGAGAAGAGGACAACTTCTCCCACCTGCGCTCCTGGTAGCCATCGTAGGTCGAGTCATTCAGATAAACGATGGGGAAGCCAGGAGCTGCTATTGTCCCTCCTTCAGGGATGCTGTAGGATGCCAAACCATCTGAAAAAGAAGGCCATACACCTCAGAAACACAGCAGCAGCAGCAGTGTGATCTTTTTATTTATGGTCTGGACCAGCAGCAGCAGTTCCATGGGCTGGGGGATCCCTGTGGATGCTCGGGGATGTGGGGGAGCCCCAGCCAGGGGAGTGCCAGGGCTGTGCCAGGGATGGGTGCCTTGGTGACGGGGATCAGCCGCACGAAGCGTGCGATGATGGGTGGCCGCAGGTCCTTCAGCACCACGTCGTAGGTGTCGGTGTTGCCGTCGATCACCTGGAGGAGAAAAGAGCCACGGTTTTCCTGATTTAGGGGAATCAGCTCAGGGGACTTGGACAAAGGAAGAGAAGTTCAGACATCCCCTCTGGAATAAAAGCACCTTTGCACCAGCTCCACAGTAGGAGAGCTGAGAATCCTGCCCTGAGAGGGGCAAAGGAGAAGACACACCTTGTGTAGCACCTCCACATCGTGCAGCCACTGTTCCTGAGCATGCTGTTAGTCAGGGCCAGAAAACCCAAACCAGCTGTGTGAGAGACAAACCCAGCAACAGTTTCCAGTCCTGGCCACTGCTGATGCCAGTGCTCCCTATTGTCAGGAATGCTGCAGCGCTGCTGGGTGATACCAGATGATGCACAGCAAGCACAGAGCTGAGGCACAACACGCTGCTCCAGCAGAGCCAGGATGAAGTACAACGCATCAAGCAGGATGTGGAGGATGTGCCTCGTAGGGTGCAGCTTTCCAAGCAGACCCAGCTCCCCCCAGGCTCACCTTCCTGCCCCTCCAGGAGATCCAGCGCTCCCCGTTCCGGCTGTAGTCGATGCGGTAGGCGCGGGCGAACTCCTTGCCGGTGGCGCGGGCGTGCCGGCCCTGGGTGCCCACCAGGGTGATGAAGAACAGCTTGTGCAGGTCAATCTGCAGGAACTGCACATCTTCAGGCTCCAGCAAACCAGCTGGGCACCAGGCTCCATCCCCCTCTTCCCTCTGTAACCTGAGGGGACAGTCACATGCATTAAAAATAATCAGATTAATTGAGGAAACACACAAAACTTTGGAGGATTGGGAGGAAGCAACAAAACCAGCAATGGCTACCAAATACCTCTGCCCTTTGATGGTCAGCTGAGGCTGAAATCCTACAGGCAGTTTTGCCCTGTGCAGAACAGCTCCTCAGCCCCAGATATCTTTCATTAACTGCTTGGAGTAATTTCTTCCCCAGACATCAATTTCCAAGGTGATCAGAAACAACCCTGCTGCTCAGTAGGGAACTGCTCGCTGCCCTGTAGCACCACTTCATTCTCATGGAGAGGGATTTTTTTTCTTTAATATTTAACCAGAATTTCCTGTACCACAGCTGTGAGCGCTGCCATTGCCTCCTGGCCTTTCTCTGTGCCCAGATTGAGTATGGAAGCAGCAAACAAGGTTTTAAGGGTAGGGGACCTTCTTCCTCAACAACATATTGGGTATTTAGGGGAAAAAAAGGACTGAATTTGTTGTCAGAGGTGAACCCACCGTGCGTACTGAGGCCCTGTGGAGTCGTACCACTGGCTGGAAGCAGTGATGTCCTCATCCCTGATGGTCCCCTCGTGCATCCCCAGGGGATAACGACAGATTGCTGCAAATGGGAACACAGACAAGCAAAGATCAGCACTCATTTTTTTAAAAATCACCAGGAAAGTTTAATTCTAAGGCTATCACACCCAGGGAATAAGCATGGTAATGCTAAAATAAGGAATGCAAAAAACAAGAAAGATTAAATACTTCATAATTATCATAAATTGAAAATTAAACTTACAGTATCATTCAGCAGAGCCCAGGCAAGGCAAAAATTTTACAAAGAAACATTTTAAGAGCATGAAATTCCAAACCATATTATTGTTACTGGTTGCATGGGCCCATTTTACAAGGACAAATTAATCATCGATAATGATTTGTCAATAACAATAATAATGACATAAAAAGGGAGCTTTTGTTCAAGATTTTTCTTCCCCTGGAATAAACTGGATGCTTGACTTGTGTTCAAACGGGAACAATTATTACCTTCACCAGTTGAGATAAAAGGGAGAAGCTAAACATCTGTCACAATGACAAGTCAAGGAAAGATCTGCTCTGTCCTGTCACTGTGGGCTGGAGTTCACATCTGACCATGTCTGTGCTCCACAGTTCTGGCTGCCTCTCCCTGGGGCAGGGCTGCCCTGGGTGTCCTCCTGGTATCACAAAATCCCAGAATGGGCTGGGTTGGAAGGGACCTCAGAGATTATCTCCTGCCACCCTTGTACCAAACCTGGATACAGCTCTACAGGAGTTGCACTTCAAGGATCCTCGTGGGTCCCTTCCAACTCAGGAGATTCTGGGATTCCATGAAATCCATTCAAGCAGGTTCAGAAGCTACAAGACAAGACAGAGGGATGAAAACCACCTTGCTGTTATCACTACACAGAATAAAGCACCTCAGGCTGAATAACTGCCTGACAGATCTGACGCAGAAATGTTTGCAAGCAGAGGGTGGTGCTTCAACAGGGTTTGCCTGCAGCTGTTAGGCACTGTATCAGGGAATGTGTGATGTTCTGAGCATTCCTAAATCACCAGGTAAAGGAGATGGCTGGTCACAACATTTCCTAATGATACCAGGTTATTTAATATTAAAAAATATTTAATATTTTTAAAGATTGTGGGAATACCTATGAAACAAACTAGAATTAGTGTTACAGCACTGCCTGTATTCATGGTCAGATGCCAAGCAGATAAGGAATAGAGCTCTTGCTCCTTCCCTCATCAAAAGGCAGAGACGGCAATACAGATGATGAAGATGATCAGCAGCCTCATCTTTACAAAAGGGATTACTGAAGTACGACAAAGATCATTTAGACTGAACAACAGATATCCTCACTGCCTCTCAAAACACCAGAACCAGGAGGCATCAAAAGGTCAGGTGGGAGAGTTCAAAAACAGAATTATAAATCCTTAACCTATTAAACTCTCCAACACCACAATTTCCCATGGGTTCAAAAAAACCCAGCTGAACAAGCTCACAGCCACCACAAGCAAACAAACAGCCAAGCACTGGCTCTGGAAGCTGCAGTGATCTGAGGGTATCCCTGGGGCAAAGCTCAGCTGTGTGCCAGCCCATCCGTGCACCCTTTCAGAATCAGAGGGATGGGACCCTGCTCAGCTGGGTGGGCTCCTGGTATCACCCACAACATTCACAGCCTGGGGTTTGTCAAGAACTCCCTGGGAGGAAACTGCTGTCTGCCTCAGGCAGGAGCAATTGTGCCTGCTGGAAGCCAAGCAAGAGTTCCAAGCCCTGCACAATCAGGTGATTTGGGGAACCAAACCCGCCTCGACTGTCTTCACTCTCACCTGGCCCAGCACAACCTGATCTGTTGTGAGCTATGGGTAAATACATGGAGAGCTTCCAAAAGGGTGGGGTCACCATCTGAAAGCAGAAAGTGCTCCTCGTGCTCCTGCAGTGGGAGTCCTGTGTGCTCACACCTGATTTAAAGGTCAGACACGCACTGGCCAGCAGTGGCAGATGGAAAGCTAGCTGGGAAAGGCTCTGGGGGACTGACTCCTCCTGCAACCCTGAACAAAACCCATTTGTTCACAAGACCAGGGCTGGCACCAGAGTGTCCTTGGCATTGAGGGATGCACTCTGTGGGTGGCCACAGCTCTCACCAAAACCAGCAACATGAGGCTCTCACCACGTGCACCTATCTTGAGCAAAACCATCTTTGGGTTCTGTTTAGGGTACTCCTGACCCTTTACTGTGCATTCAGGTGACACTGGGGCTCAGAGAGGTGGCCCAGCCTGTCTGTCAGGGAGGTCAAACTGCTGCAAGACAAGGGGACTCACCAGGACCCTGCCACACAGCTCTGAAATCACCCCCAAAGCAGCCCCTCTGGGTTATAAGGCAATGCAGGACATGCTTCAGGCTGCTCCTGGAGGTCAGGATAATCCATGGAGCCTCTGGCATCACAGCCAGGAGTACCAGCTGGGCCACAGTGCTGGAATCTGTCTGGGAAGAGCAAGGCCAGCCCCAGGCAGAGGCATTGGAGCAGCCGGGGGAGCTGAGGAAGCAAAGCTGCCCGAGGATGTCACAGGGAGCAGAGCTGAGGAGTGTGAGGGGTTATTTCCTGATGGAAGGGATTCCTGCAGGAGGTGGGAGCACAGAGCTGTGCTCAGAGCCCACCCACCTCCCTGGAGATGGTGTGGAAGGGCCATTCCTGCACCAACAAAAGGATTCTGCGTGGCACTGACCCTCATCTGCCATCCCTCCTCCTCCATGAGGCTGAGCAGTGGCAGCCCCAGTCGCAGGCTGGGTGTGTGGTGGGTGCACAGGGCAGGGAATGCTGTGGAACAGGGAGCACAGGAGTGCTGCTGAGCTCCCCCACAACCCTCACTTCGCTTCTGGCTGCTTGCAGCACAACCTCAAACCTCTGCAAATATCCACAGGCCAGAGCAGGGTCAGAGGCAGCCACAAAGGGCTCCAAACAAACAGAGCCAGCCCCAGCAGAGCCAGCACAGGCCCTCAGGGTAGCGCTGATGCCTCACCACACCTCCAGCCAAGCTGGAAAAGGATTAAACTCATTTATTTCACAGGCTGTCTCCAGCTCAAAACACCTCATTACAGGAATTTTTGCAACACACTGCAGACCATTATCTTATTCATTTCCATCATGAGTGTATCCTGCCAAATGCTGTAGGATGAGAGGTCCTGCTCTCCACAGAGACTCACAGGCTCGTATCTCCACCCTATCCTTGTGCCAGGTAAGGTTTTCTATCTGTCCCTCCACATTTCTCTCCCCAGAACGCCCCTTGCTGGCTGGAGAGCTGTGGCTGATGCTTTGCTAACTGGTAATTTGTTTTCCAGAGCGAGCACAGAACCTCTGAGCCAGTCTGGAGCGAGGTTTGTCCTGCAGGCCACAGAGCCAAAGCGATGGGGGGACATTCAGAGCTCAACACAGGCCTGGGCAGGCAGAGAAAGGAGGATGTCCCTGTGCCTGAGCCTTCCTGGGATGGGCAGGAGAGTGCCCCACTCCAGCACAGCTGTCCAGGAATATCTCAATCCATTGATTCAAACCAGTGATTATCTCTACATGCAACCTTTACACTCAACCCCCATGAGAGGCAAAGAAAGGCTGAGAAGGAGCACACAAAAGGTGGGAGATGAATCCTCTCCCAGCCTGGCAGCTCCCTACCAGGGTTGACTTCGGTGCCAGAGGGCTCAGGCAGGGAGGCCAGCAGCAGCATGCAGAAGATCATGGTAGCAACTGGAGGTGCTGCACAGGGTCAGACGAGTCCTTCAAAGGCAGCAGCTGCCATCTACATCTCTGAAAGACAAAGCAAAGAGAGAGGATGAGTCCTCCAGAGCCCTCTGTGCTGCAGGGTTGCCGTGTGTCATCGCCTCGTGACGGGCTGGGCAATCTTCCCTGCCTTCAAGAGTGTCTTTGACCTCAGCCCTGCTCTGCTCATCACCAGATCAGAGGCTTTGTGAAGAACCAAGGATCACTTGACTGTCTACACCACCCCTAAAGCCAGTGCAATCCATCTCTCAGGCCCTCAGCTGCCATGACTCCTGGGTGGATGGATGTACCCTCTTAACTGCTCTTAAACAAGTCATCTCTCCTGAATCAACACTTCACTTTCCTTACTAAATTAACAAGAAGTGAAACTGCAGCTGCAAATGAACCTGGGCAATCCAAGCAGGCTTTATCCACCTAAAACTTGGCACCAAGTAGCCAAGCAGGCACCTTGGGACTTGCCACACACCTTTAAGATAAAGGTCCAAAACAGGGTGAAAATAATCTCTCCCTGCTCACATGGGTGAGCACACTCCATTTCCTGTTTGGAAACAAGGAAAATAGCAAACGCCTAAACCCTGGCAATTCCACTGGAAAGCCATGATAACACCTAAAGGAACAGGAGGTCACATCAGCAGTTATGTGAATTCTTTATGTCCACATTCACTACACAAAGAGCCTTGGGGGGCTCCCATCCTGGAGGATGATTTAACAGAAGGCAGGCTAGAGGCTTTGTCTCATAATGGAATGCCAGGAGAAAAGAAAACAGAACAAATCCATAAATGCAAAGTTGGCAGGACAAGAAGGTGTTTGCTCAAGAATCCTCAGAGTTTTAATAAAAAGGCAACACTGAATGTTGGTATTTGTTAGTGAAGGAGGAGAGGCTATAAAAGGGCCCATCACTGTGCCAGTGCATGCATGCATGCAGAGCATCAGATGCCATTAACTCAGAGACTGGTAACAAAAGGCTCTCTTTTTCCACCCAACATAATTAAACTCTACAAATCACAGCCCTGAACTGCCCTGGATACCCAAGGGACTGGATATACTCACAACAGACAGGCACACCACAGCTCCTTAAATCCAAAGGTAAAACCTCTGGCTTGGGAAATCCCCCAGCTGCAGATTGCTGGACACCCAGAAGCTAAATCAGGGTTAGAATCACTGGAGCTTGCCATGTTTTTATTCTCTTTCCTAAGGATATGCTACTGGCCATTGTCCCTGCTGGATTCCATCAGAAAAGATGGCTCTGAGCCTGAAAAACAACTAAGGGCCTTCTTGGGAAGGGAGCCAAACACGCAGGCAGGAGGGGGAGCTAATGCTGGGTAGCTGTGCCTTGCTGTGCCCAGCCAGACAACCAAAAAACACCTTAAAACCACCAGGTCCCTCCTGCTTCAGCCACCTCGTGGCTCCCTACATGAGCAGCCTGGCCAGGGCTGGGAAGGGGCTGTGATCCTGTGCTGAGCCTGCAAAAGCAAAGCACAAGCCCAGAGCTCAGCAGGAGGGTCTGGCCAAAGAAGGGGTTTTGACCAAACACTCTGCAGCTGTTTGTGCATCCAAGGTCATCCTTCCCCCCCTGGAATGGAAGGAGGTGAAGAGGAAAGGAAAGCTCCAGAACTGATCTAGAGCTCACCTGTCAGCAGCTCTGTGCCTACAAAAGCTGGCTTTGCACTGGGCCCTTGCCTAAAGGGAGGACAAGCAGGATGAATCCTCTCTCTCCATTGTTGACAGAGGAAAAGGCTGGTCTGGACTGGTCCTGTCATTCCCAGATGGGTCACATGAATTCTCACCTTCGTGGCAGTGGTGATCTGCTCCCAGCAGTTCAGCCCTGCACAGGGACCTCAGCGGCTGGTTCAGGTTCTGCTGGGTTTGTTTTTCCCCACCACATTTGGTTCTCAGTCCTGGATCACCAAAGTGCCTGTCAGTGAGTCCTGGGAGAGGAGAGAGCAAACAATGCCATTTCTCAGCTTTTAGAGCTCCACAGCAGCTGCTGTTCTAAGCAAGGTCAGCAAGAGTGGTTTTCACACCTTCAGAGGGTGAAACATTTTGAAGGAGCTCCAGCTGCAGAAATCACTGTTTGAGGAACTACTGATGTTGATTGGTGCTGAGTCTTAATCTCATCCAGAAGTAGATTGGGTTCCCAAAGTGCACACTTCCCAGAGCTAGGACACACTGGAATTACTACTAAATACCATTCTCTGTACAAACTGCTTGGGAATCATCTTACTAAGGACGTTTTCCTGTGTAATAGCTCAATACTTTTCTTTCAGCTGCATTAGAGTCCTTTGCTGTACTCATGCCTATCTTCCCACCCTGCCCACACATACACACCAAGTGCCAAAACTACAGCACAAGCCCAAAACCAGCAAAAACAGGATTAGCAGCATCCTCTGAGAGGCAAGAAAGTGTTAAACTCTGTTCCCAGGCCCGACTGGATCAAGTTGCTAATTGCTAACAGCTGGCTGCAGGAGAATAAAATCCTGTTACAATCATTGGGAGAGTGGAAAAGAAAAAAAATATCTCCTTGTTGAAAAACCTCACTAAGAAATGCAAGAAGGCACTTTTCCCCAATAAAGCCAGCAGATACCATGGCTGAAAAGTCAGTCCATGCCTCCACAGAGGAGCAGCTGGCTGTGACCCAGCGCTGTCCCCAGCACAGCAAAGGCTCAGCGAGCACAGGAGGGAGCTATTCTTCAGTGATGTGCATGAAGAAGGTGGGACTTGGAGCTCCTCCAGGTACTGTTCTCCCTCCAGAGATCCATTACAGAGGTCTGGAGTGTTTGCAAGCCTCTCTAGATCCCAACTGAAACAGGCATTTGTTTTAACTGGTTCCTTTGCAGATCATTACCCCGGAGTGGGACCTGATCCCGTTCCAGATGCCCAGAGCCACGCCAAAAACTCCACAGTCGTGGGCAAGGCCCAGAGTATATCACACACAGAGCTCTGTGCACAACAGGAGGAGTTATCCTGAATCAAAGCATCCTCAGAGAGGTCCAGGAACAGCCAAGGAGGACTGGATGGCATCTCCTGGCATTCCTAAAGGAATTCAATGGGGAAGAAGCAAAGCTAATAATTGGGGCAATATCTGATGCTTGAAGAAATTAGAGGCTGGGAAATGTGATTTCCATTTCTCTGTCTCCAAAACAATGGCAGAGCATTTCTCTTTGCCTCAGAGTTAATCTGAGAGACCCCAGCCCCAGAAGTCTTCCCCTGGAGCACACGCAGCTCCAGCTTGGACCAAACAGAATTTGGTGATGAGAGCACTTAGCAGAAAGAATTCAGCCCATGGACTCAGACATGAGGCAGTGCCTCATCTACAGCCCAGAGACTTGCTGGTGTTTCTGCACAAGACCAAGAAATCCTCCAGCTTTTTCCCACTGCCTGTCAGCCAGTCCTACAAGAGTGGGGGTGCCCTCAGTTTGTGAAACTGCCCAGAGCACAAAAACAGACTTGGGGATAAATGAACATGCATTAAATGTAATTCAATCCATCCATCCATGGCCAAAATTAGAAACCATTAGAAAGACAAAGCCAAAGATAAGGAAATGCAAATTCACTGGTTTTAGCTCAGCTAAACCAAAACCAAAGCCTCCCCACCAATCCAGGGCAGGGGAACTCTGTTCTCATCTCAACTGAGGAACCTGGAAGCATTTCCACAACCCAGCCAGACCTGCCAGGACCCTGCTAGGACATGGCCATTCCCAGCAGCAGGGGCAGGGGAGCCTCCAGCACCACCTCCAAAATACACATCCCCTCAGCTGCAGAGGCTCCAGTTCCCAACTCCAGGCTCCAGAGCCGCTGTTTCTGTAGGACAGAAGTGGCAGAAAAACAAGATTGTGCACAAAGCAGCAGTTCCAAGTACCTCCCTTCTCCCTGCACAAGCAGCAGTGTCCCTTCTGTCCCTTCCCAGAGCTTCCTTCCCACCCTCTCAGGCCCAAACACCACTCAGCACACTGACATTTTCACTGTTCCTAAACACTGGCATCTCTCTCCAGCTTTTTTCTTTTAACAATCCTTAAAATATATCAACTAAAAGTCAGCAATAGTTCTCTCAAGACCTACAATCTCCCACTGCAAAGTCTCACATAGCAACCATCCCCATGACATGTTAACCACAGAGATGACAGATGGGGTATTAAGAGCACTCAATCTAAACCACCTTCCTCCCTCCCTGTTCTCAGGGGGCTCCAACATAACCTTTTACTTAACTGTGCTCAAACTTGCACTCAGAAGGAGATCAGGTTGCTGAGTCACAGAATTATTTGGGCTGGAGGAGATCCCCAGGAGAGCATCTAATCCCAGCTCCTACTCCAAGCAGGGTTAGCACCAGTTTCAGAGCAGCCTGCACAGGGCTCTGTCCAGCTGTGTCTTAAAAGCCCCCAAGGATGGAGGCTCCCCTCACCTCTCTGGACAATCTCTCCCACTGCTCAGCTGTCTGAAGAAGGAAAACTTTATCCCTCTATCCCAAGGCAGAAACCCCTGTTATCTCATCTGACAATCACTGTCAATCCTGCTGCTATGCACCTCCTTGATAACCTGCTCTTGGATATTCCAGAGCCTCCTCTTGTCCCAGCTAAACCACCCTGACTCCCTTGGGAAGCCAAGATTCAGTATTAATTTAACTGATATTTTCTCCCTGGTGAGACAGAGGCTCCCTCCATGCAGTGGGACAGCTCTAGTCAGATTTTGCCATGACTCCCACAGGGAAACTGGGGAATAACTGAGTTTGTCCCATGCTGATGTCAGAGCATGGCAGGAACACAGCTCCCCAGCCTCTGCCTACAGAGTGCAGGGATCACATTCCCACTGGTGACTATTTTTGAGGGGTATCAGGTGGCACTTTCTAAATCAGCTCGTCCAACACGGTGCTGAGAGCAGCAGGGAGACTCTGCCACCCTGGCCCAGGGCGAGGGCAGGGGTGGGGATGTGGATCAGAGCCCACATAACTGCTCAGGTGGGTGTTTCTCAGCTCAGAGCCCACCAGCCGTGCTGAGGCATACAGGAAAGCAAGAAGGATGTGCCAGGGATCAATCCAGACACAGCCTCACCCCCAAAGCAAAGCCTGTCCTGCCTCCTGGGAGCAGCAGCCTTTGGTCGACAGCAGGGTTGCATCCCTCAGGATCCCAGGTATACAATGTCAATAAAGCTACTTTGGCAACCAGTGCAGCAATCTTATTAAACACACAATTTAAGGATTTTTTTTTTTTACATGATCTGCTTTCCATCAGAGCCATGCTCCTTCTTTAATGTGACAGAGGTTGGTCTCCACTGCCCGCTGGTTACCTGCTCCCTTCTCCATTTTAAAACACTGCTACATTTATGTTTTCCCAAACTTTTGGATCTCCTTTGGTCTTCCCAGCTTTATTACAAATTGGCAGCCAGGATTCAGAAAGCTGCTTTGCCAAATTGTTTTAAACAAACAGGTTCCAGTGTTGCTCAAGTTTCAAAAGACTTTGAAATGTTATCTTGGGTTTAACACCCTCCCTGGTTACCAGTGCAACGGGAGGTATTCTGAGAGAATATCATCCAGCTTCCCCACAAAAATGGGAAAGAAATGTTTTACTTCTCTGCATTGTTATCAGCAATCAGTTGGGTTTAAACTTTCCCAACAACATAAGCACCGCTGATTAAATTTATTTTGTTTTACAGATATTAAAATATTTCTCACTGCCCCGTGATACATTTGCTCTGCTTTTTCAGTTGTCTTGAGCTTTCCTTATCAACTGCCTCCCTTCAAAAATAAGTAACAGGTCCTTATCTACAACCTTTGTTTTGCAAATTGCTCATGGTTGAGCCTATTTAAAAGCCAAAACATGATTACTGGGGCAAGTGCTTTACAAAACCAGAAGAGAAGCAAATCCATTGCATAGGGCTGCAAGTAGTACCTGAGAACTGCTGATTTCTGCAAGGGTAGAAGCCAAACTCCAAGAGATGGTTCAGTGAAAATCAAAAGCCAGAAACAGCATTTTGGAACCTCTACTAATTGAGCTGCCCATCTAGTCTCCCTCAAACCACCACAAATGCGGATATTATCAAAAAGCTACATTTTATGTAATTATTTACACTGCATTTAAGTAATGTATGAATTGCAATTTCTCTTCATATTTGTAAAAATAAAACTCAGAGCACCTGTAGCTGGCAAAGAGCCCCCACACCCTTTGCTTGAGGATCACTATGGGCTCTGCTCTAGTGGCACCAAAAAATATTAATAAAAATGAAGAGCCATGCCCTACAGCCACAAGAAGGTACCAGATTTGAAGAAGCTTTTCCAATATCAGAAAGAGGCATAACTTATGGTCCTTTCAGTACATTCCACAGACTGCAATAACTTTATGGTCCTTTCAGTACATTCCACAGACTGCAATAACTCCAAACACCAAAATGTTGTGGGTGGGAAGGGCTCCAGCCCTCCCCAGCACCCCAGGAGCCAGAGGGGACAATACAGGCTGTGACCTCAGTGGGTACCATTTCTCCAGAGGCTGAGCACAACCTCCAGCCAAGGCAGCCAAGTCTGGGTACACACAGCTGCTGTTACTATTTACTAGTACAGCTCTGCAAGATAAAATTTAACTTCCCATGTGCAGAGATTAAGTTGCCATTAATTAAACATTCCAGCAAAATACCTACCATGACTAGAGACAGCTCAGAGAAGATCTTTGCTTGCCACAATGTATTTCAAGCAATCAAATCAAATCTTCTGCTTATAAACAATGGAAAAACCAAGAACACAGGAAAAAAAGCTCGAGCAGCATTTCACAGCTTGGGCAAGGCAGAATGACCAATTCTGATTAAATTTCCTCAAGACAACAAAGAACAGTAGCCCACAGAGTTGTAATAAGATTTAGCAATTACACACAAGGCAGGTAGCAGTAGGAAAATCATGGTATTGTTTGAGGCAAAGGGAAGAGAAACAGGAGAGATGAGAAGGGGAAAAAAGAAACATGTAAAACAATGATGCCTAAACCAAAAAAAAAAGGACCCCATTTACCTCTTTTCCATATTCAAAATGAACAGAAATTAAAAAACAACAAATTTAAACTGAGGAAATGAAATTCCACAGCATACCATGTGCATTGAGCCTCTGGGACATATTGCCACAGAGCAATGTGGGAGTAATTCAATAAAATATTGGAAGTAGATCTCCATAATAAGAACATCTGCAATTCCATTAACAGAGTGAAAGAGAGCACACTGGAGATAAATTTTCCTCTAGCCAGGCATAAACAAACCAGGAACTAATGTGACCAGAGGGTTCTCTCCTGCACGGGCAGGTTATTCCACAGCTGGCTGCACTCGGGCTCTGGGGCTCCCCTGTGCCTGTGATAAGATGGGTGCCTGAGTAGGTGGGCTGTGATCCCAGCCAGTTTGGCAAGCTCTGCCTCTGTGGATAGAGATCACATTTCAGTTTTCAGCAGCTTATTGTGCAGCTTCTCGAAAAGAGAAACAACACTACCCACTTTTTTTTTTTTTTTTATTTTATTAAAAAGAGATTATCCTCTGTGACACAAAAAGAACAGATGAAATTTCAGCCAAAGAAATACCTGTGGAGCAGTGAGTGACCCTGGAAGGCTCTTGGTGGAACTACAGCTATTTTGGAAAGTTCTCAGCACCTGAAAAAAATGGGTTTACTGGGGAAATAAATAAGATTCTTATCTGGAGGGGCTGCTACCAGAGAGCCCCACGGTTAACCCTAACAACGAGGATTCTCAGGAGCACCTTCCTGCACATTCACACTCCCATGTTTTAGAGTAAATGGGAGCCTGAAAAAGTTTAACAGTGACTAAAACTGCAGTAGGTGCTTCAGGAGAGGGCAGGGTCTGTCCTCAGGAGAAGAGGTGAGAGCACAGGAACCCACAGGCCCCGTGTGGGGCAGGAGCTGCTGGGGCTCAGGGGACGGGAGAGCATTCCCCCAACATTCCCACTGAGCACAAGAACTCACTGCCAGCTCTGTTTTCTGCACATCTGTCCCAACCTCAGCCCTGGAACATCTCAGCAGCTCCTCAGAGCTCCAGCCCTCCTGCCCAGAGCCCCCAGCCAGCACCAGGCTGTGCCCCCAGAGCACCCCACACGCCCCAGAGGTGTCCAGGCACACATCCCTGAGGGACATCCCGCATCCCTGAGGGACATCCCGCATCCCTGAGGGACATCCCGCATCCCTGAGCCCTCCCAGAGCTGCGGGAAGGGGACACCGAGTCACCCTCTCCCTGCCTAGGCAAAAAAAGCCTTCACCTCCCCAAACCCCCTCCACAGCTCCCAGCAAGCTTTATCCAAGGACAGAAACCACGGGGAGAGCTGACACCAAACTGAGGGGCAGGTTAAGCTGGAAGGACCCTACCTGCCTCTGCCAGGGCCTGCCGAGCACGGGGAACTGCTGCTCCGTCTCTTTGGAACTCCACAGGTTGAGCCAGGCTGTAGTTTCGACATTCCTTGCAACTTTCCACCAGCACACACATGATATGTTCAAACTTGAGTAACTCCTCCCTCCTCCCTCCCTCCGCACACACAGACAGGCCCAGGAGATGGCCCTGCCTCTATCATCCCGGTTCCTATAGCAACTCCTGACCCAGCAGATGGAAACAGAGCTGTTTTCTAGGCAAATCTGCCTTCTTGGATTCCTCTGCTCTTCCCTGCTGTTGGCCCCTCCTTGCTCCAGTGCTCTCCCTGGGGGCTGCTCCGCTGGCACCTGGCCCAGAATTTGCCTGGAGGAAGGCCAAGCTTTGAATTCATTTAGTAAAACCACAACATAAAGCAGCTCTCCTGCTCAGGAAGCAGGGCCTGTGTAGTCCCAGGGGCAGGCCAGGCACTGCAGAGCCAGCCTGCACCTTCTGCTTTAACGCAGCATCCCGGCAGGAACAGCTCCACTCCTCATCCTCATCCTTCCCCGGCAGGAACAGCTCCACTCCTCATCCTCATCCTTCCCCAGCCTGGGCCGTCCATGAGGAAAGGCAGAAAGAAACAGAGTTAGTCATTTATTAGCAAGTCTAGCCAACAGAATTATTATAGCAGAATATTATATTATTGTTATTATAACCAGGCACTTGTTAGACATTTGGATTTCTGCTTCCAAAGGTTTTCCTGGGAGAAGGAGAGCCCAGGGTTCTCCTGCATGTTCATCACAACAGCTCACCCCATTGCTGCCCTCAGGTCAGGGCCCCACAGGAGTGGAGGTCACCAATGCCTGAGAACAGCCCTTCACACTCAGCGCCTTTTCTCTAAAAACACAGAAACTGAGGGAAAATAAAGAGCTCAGACCAGGCTGTGACATTTCAGGGAAGGTAATTACCAAGGGTGGCAGTGGGAATGTCATGAGCAGGTGGCTCCATGGTGACAGGACAAGCAGGATGGCAGCAGGACCCAAACCCAGAACAGGGACTACAAAACTGCTCCTGGGCTGCACAGCCCTTGCAAAGCCCTTCCACCCCAGCACCTGTGTTTTGTGTATCCCAAAGGAAAAAAGGAAGCAGACACAAAGCACACTGTGCCACTACTAACTGGAAAATACAGCTGGGAGCTGCAACATGCAGTCAGATGCCACCTCACTCCCATTTTCCTCCCTGCCCCATCCCACCTCTGGTCTGAGAACAGAAAATAATTTTCTTTCTTCCCCCATGGTAATTCCTCCAGGCATCAGTGAGCTAATCAGCCCAGAGGGATGGGATAGTCCCTAAGGCTCACAGATGGTTGGGACACGAGCAGCAGTAGGGTGGATGTGGGAAGACAGCAGATCCCTTTCTGCCTGCTCCAAAAGGGTGTTACTCATTCTGATAATGCCCTTCCCAAGGCACTCTCCTCCCAAAACAAGGATGCCTGCCCTGAGAACATAATGGTACATGGGAGCCAAGCTGGATACAGGCCCCTGGGGCAAACTGGGACCAAACAATTCCATTTGCAAGACACGGAGCAGATTGTGGCAGCAGGAAATGCTGGACATCCAGGAACAGGGAGTTCAGGAGTAGCATCAATAAAAGCATCAAAGCAGATGCATATCACACAAACAACATCAAGGGTCTAGAAAAAGCTCCCGATTTCCCTGTGGTGCTGGGAAGAGCAATGGCTCAACTCACAAACAGATCTGAGGAGCCCCTTTCCCTGGGGAAGGACATTGCTGTGGAGGCACAAAACACTGCTGGAAAACTGCTGACCTTGCAGTCAGACTCACTTGAGCAGCTCAGCACAGAAAAAGGCTCTCTGCTGGATGCCCTCTGAGATGTAACTTGATCCCACAGTACACATCCACTAATCAATCGAGGGATAAAGCAAAGCAGAAAACAGTCTTTTTTTTTAATTTTTTTTTTTTTTTTTTTACTGGAATGAGCCCAAATATGCACAATAACAGATCCCACTCAGAGCTATTGCAAACTCAAGTACTTGGGAGAGTTTTGCGTCTCACATCGCAGAGGGAGCATACTTCTGCAATAGCATCACTGCTTCTCAGATTGGGTATTTGAGAGACTTCCTAATGACCTCATAGTAGCACATGTGACCACTAAGTCATCTTCTCAAAGGACCAGGAATAACATCAACAGACCCTGTTTTGGTTGTGCACAGGACAGCTTTCCTCAGCACAAGCAGGTTCCTAAAGAGTGAGCGAGCAGGACCCAGCTCAGGCCAGAGCTGGCATCGTGATTGTTTCTCCAACAGATTCTGTTTGGCCTTGGAAAACATCTGGCCAATTAACAGATGAAGACCCATTAGCACATACTAAATTCCACATACAAATTTAGACACAAAAGATTGTTTATCCCAGTGTAGTCCAAATTCGTTTGGTTTGATATGATAACGTGAATCCAAGAAGTATCCTAAATGCATTTCAAAGGTGAACTCACAAAACACAAAATAATGACTTGAAAGGGTTTCCAGTTGTTTTATTTTTCCTCCCAGTGCTTAAAAATAACCTGCTACGCTGAGCAGCAAAGCAGGAATTAGGAATTTGTGGGTGATGAACTGGTGAGCTGATCACATTGTGATGGGGAAGTTGCCTTTTGCTGACCCCAAGCCACCCCCAGACAGGTGGCACTGGGAGAAATAAATGAGTGAACATTTGTGATTATGTTAACACTGGGGTGAAGGCAACTGCACAAACAGCTCAAGACAGACTGATGGCCTTAAGCACTTGAGGAGATCGCTCCTCTGTAGCCAGCACAAGGCTCCTGCAGAGGAAAAGTGACAAAATCCCACTGTGGAGATGTCAGGAGACCTGCACCAGACAATGTCCCCAGTTACCAACAGTGATATGGGAACACACATCCAAGCAAGAATAAGGAGCATCATGAAACAGTACCCAAGAGCTTCCTCTACCAGGTCTCTCCTGCAGCAGCAGCAGCAGCATAGGTCCACAAAACCTCCTATCCCTCCCCAGGGGCTCTGCTCCATGGGCCTTATACTCCTTGCCTCCCACCCAGCCCAGCTATGGCAGGACCTTATCCCAGGAAGGGAATCCTGTGAGCACCAAGGTCACACCTGCGTGGCCTTGGGCTAGACACAGACACAGCTGAGGAGCACAGAACAGCCCCACTACGGAGGCTGGACCTGCACTATGTTAAAGCTTTTTATTCTTTCAGTAAGAGGTGGTGAAAGCCAGCTCCTGCCTTCACCTTTCCAGGAACTTTTGATGGAACACAGAAGCCTGTTGTAAAAGTGCTCTGTTTACACCCTGCAGCCCTGTCCTGTCTTTACCCAGTGTGAATGTGTTCACTCCCACTACCCCATGAAACATCTGCTCAGCCCAGCTCTGCTGGAATCATCTCTCCACTGCAAAGAAATCCACTTCCAGCCATAAACCTGGGAAAAGAGGAAAGTGGGGCAGAGTTTGGTATGATGAAGAGGGCATGTTTGAGATGTGACATCTTCCAAGAAATACTGACAAACCATCGCCACAGATCAGGTACTGACTAGAGCTGCTCTGCAGGGTAACAGAAGGCTCAGAGCTGACAAGACAGAGCATGTGGTGATATTACAGATACCTGACACACCCTTCCCAAGGGGTGCAAAACAAGGGCTGCAAGGGGAACACTTTCCTTCCACCACATTCGCCCCACCCCGTGCCAAGGAAGCTCTTCCTGCTCTGAAGGGAGATGATCAGACTCCTCAAGAGGGCAAGTACCAGAGCAGACATTTCCCAAATCACCAGGACAACCTCTGGCCCAGCCATGGGACAGACACATCCTCGTGTCCCAAGCAGATAAAGCTCTGCAGCTGTGCCTGCTCCCTGTTTCTGGGCTTAGCAAAGCTCCATCCTGCTGGGACATGGGAGCAGAGGCCTCAGCACCCCCTTGCCACCACACCTCCCACTCCCAGGAGTCAGAATGGTTGACAACAACAACTCCTCCCCAGCTCCAAAAACCTCTTTCAGAGCTTTAATGTTACCAGGAAAGATCCACACAGGAGCAGCCTCCCATTTACCCTCTGCTTACACAACAGGGTGCCCACCATGGGCTGCCTCAAAGCTGAGGGTGAAGAGGGGCAACCCCAGGTCAGAAGCAGGGCAGTGAGCTCAGCCCAGCTCCATTTGCTGCAATGACAAAGGCCCAGAGAACACGTCATCCACGAGGACTGAGCTGCTGGCACGGAGCAGTGCTCGGCAAGGACGCGCTTGTAAACACTCTCCCTGGCCATCGTCGCTGATGCAACCACGACAAAGGGGCAGAGAAAACCATTATCTGCAAACAGACATCCCTCCCTGTCCCTGGATACCGGGACCAGCCCAAGCAGGACATCTCCAGCCTTTCTCTTGTCTGCATGTTGAGCCAAAAGCCCTCTGGTGTCCTGCTGCAGATGAGGATCACTCCCACATCAAGGAAGGGCTGAGTTCCCACAAGCCAGAAAACCTCTGCTTTGGGATTTTGACCCATAATCCCTGGAAGCAGTTGGTATATTCAGCAGGCACATGATCTCTTTCAAAGCTGGCCTCTCTTCTTGAAGCACTAGGTAGTATCTAACATCCTGAGTATTATCCTTCACATGTTCCTCCCCTCCAGGGCAGCAGGCAGCTCTTTCTGCCCATCATCCCTGTCAGGAGTTTGGAGCAAGGAGATGGTGCAAGGTGTCCTGACAAGCAGAGCTACACCAGTCCTGGGGCTGCTGGGGACAAAGTCCTGCTGTCTCTCTTACAGTGATACTTCCCCACATCTCTTCCTCTCTCCTTGAAGTTTCCCAGATAAATCTGTGTTGGCATATCACATCCCAAAACTCCAAGCTGCAGGGATCTGAGGAGACCGATATCTGAGTAGTGATTCCACATCCATCTCAGAGAAAAACTAATCAGCATCCTTACCAGAGATTTTATTGCAGACACATGGAAAGCAACAGCAGAAAAAGCAAAGCAAACCATAAGCACTGGCTGTCAGCCTCATCAAGGAGGAGCAGCACGAGGGAAGGGAGAGATTCAGCACCAGCCATGTGATTTTCCCAGCAACCCAAGTGAACCATGGAATGGGCAGAGCTCAGCTTGTGGCAGCAATGCCACTGCAG